TAGTCACAACGTCCATCTTATGTTTCCGAATTGAAATATGTTATTTGCATCCGAGAGATATCATTCCAGTCTTGATTCCTTCTTTCCAAAAAATCTTGATGAGCTGCTAAGTGACTCACAACAAAGCAAATGTCACTGTCATAGATTCTCATTCGATATGCTACACCTCCTTTATTCGCTAAAGCACCACTCATCGCACCCACTCGACAATCACCATATCCAACATTCTGAATCACATGTGTTAATGCCTTTTTATGGAAGATATAGATCAACACCCCACATAATTGGTAATACCCTAACTCTATATAGTTCTCTTTACCTCTATTCAACGACGAAAGTAACAATTCTTGCCATATCACACTCTTTTCACTATATCTGGAACCAGTTATGATTGCATCTACACTCATTTCAAGCTCTTGCATACCAACAACTACTATGTCGGGGTCGTCCTTCAAATTTCCAGTCCATCGATCAACTTCGTCTCGGGTATACACTCCTTGATTTACATTCCAAGTGCATGCCAATACCTTAATTTGCTGTATTCTGGCGTAATAAGGAAGTTCTCTGTACATCACATCCTTCCGCCACCTCTTTGGGTTGGTCAAAAAGAAATAGATGTCACTATATAACTCGATGTTATTTGCTAATAACTCTCTTGTTGGTTCTTCGCCATCTGTAATCCACGAAGGTGGTGCCAATGGTTTAAAAACGTCAGTTAATTGCGTTTTTGAGTTGAATGTTCTCTTTTTTGTTGGTTGGCACAAAGGGAACACTTGCCTTTTTCTTGGAGTTTGTGGGTTACTTTTAGGTGTCATGTGTTCTTGTGGCAAGGATAATGGTTTCTTGAGAGTTTCCAACAAGAGTGCGTCCAAGTCAGGAACGGTCTTATTTTTTTGGATGAGATTGTTTTGTTGTTTGTTCCATATTAATAGACTTGAAGACGTTTGTAAATCGATGAAGTGTTGTTTTTTTATAGCTTTGAAATACGTTGTAGTTTCTTTTAAAGATTCTCTACTTCCATTTTGGAGTAAAGTTGTGAGTGGACGTGGTTTTACTTGAGTAAATGAAGATGATAATGACACATGTGGCGTTAATTGTTTGTCTGGGACTGTTGTATTTTCTTGTTGAGCAATTGGTGAATCCAATAGTACTACTGTATCTGGTTTGGAATGTTTAATTTTTGACATGTCAAGGATAGGCCTCTTTGTGATAGCTACACGGTGTGGGTGTATTGACATCATCACTCTATTCTATAGAACAGATGTGATTTGTTCTATTTTTCAAATTGATTGTTATATGGTTTCTATGTTATTCTTTTAATATTGTTATTTTGTATGATGAAGATTAAAGAAGAAGAAAATTTAATTGTTTGATTTGTTGTGATTTTACCATTTGTTAATAAGAAATATATGGTTTATTTATTATACTAATAACAACAATAAATTTGTATTATGATAAAAATAATTCATTCGACAAAATCCAAATAACTGTTCAACAAAATACAAGTGAGTTATAATAATAAAATTTATTTATTATGTGGACTCTACTCTATACTAAACTTTTATAAATATATTATAATTAATTAAATTAATTATATAGTTTATTAATAACTCACCAAAAACACCAAAAAATCTGTTTAAATTAATATAATGGTTCATATTAATTTAAAAATTAATTAATCACAACAAAATGATTATACAACACTATTTTGGTGATTTATTATACCCAATTTACTTTTTGTTTATAAATTATTTTTTTTTATTTCAATTAATAATTATATTTATTATTCACAATACTTATAATATTATTAATAAAAAAACTATAATATAGTAAATAACTACATTTAATACAAATAGTAAAATTTAGTATTTATTGTAGTATTTTTATTAAAACCAAAGAAATAAAACAAGAAAGTCATTCGAACGTTTTGTTAAGTATCACTTTGATGATTGAGTTGTATAAAAGTGAGAACTCAATGACGCCACATGAAATAAGGGAGTGATGAGTATTACACCAGCCTTATTGCTTCTTTTTATTACGACTTGTATGTCGACATATAACATTACAATCATGATGTTGTCTGGTCCAAAGCGTCGACCGGAGTTGACACGGTCGATGCGAGACTTTTATATAGCTCTTCAGAACAAACCTTTAGATGTTCAAATTCGACACTTTATATGGGGGAAGGGATGTGCCTTTGGTCCTTGTTCCCACCCCGAGTTCGATGTCGCAGTTAATAAAACGCGAAGTAAATTTCCATGGCTGGATGTGATCGACTTTAACTTCACTCAACCTATTAATGAGAGAGACTATATGCAAGAATTCTTACATGACTTTGATGCTGCGTATCAGGAGAGTGATAGAAATGATTGGACATTCAAATCGTTTCAAAAGCATATGTTGGTCAATTACCACTTCTACACAATGGTCAATTGGGTATTACAAAATGACAAAGACACAGACTACTTCATGTTTGCTGAAGACGATCAGTTATACCAACCAGACTTCTTTAAGAAAATCAGTGATTATTTATCTGCACATAACATCGACGATTACTGCAGCGGCAAAGTGTGTCTGACGCATTACAGAAAAGATCGAAAACACACAGCACCACCCACACAATTCGCGCTTGGATGGTTTGGACAGTTCAAGTCGAGAAAGCAAATGGAGATGTTTTTGAGATTCACTAAGTTCAGTAGATATTTTGACTGTGGAGATGCAGTCACGTGGTTTTGGTGCAGAACTATTCAAGAGGGGTACTATTATGGATATGATATGTCCGTCCATTTCGGACATTGGAACCCAATGCCTCTTTGACGTGTTTTGTGTTTTTTCAAAAGTTGCAGTTCAACATGAAATTGATTTGTAAAAGATTCATTGTTCAAATATAGTTTACTTTTTATTCATTCTTTTTTCAAAAATAGTGAAATGTTTATACTACCTAATTGATTAAAAACATTACTGGAAATTATTAAAATAAATGGTTTTGATATAATACAATTTTTAGTTTCTAAATGGTAGATTTATAAAAAATAGGTTTTTTCATTTTGGTATTTTCATTGTTTTTTTTACTAGTTGTTATAAAGAATTATATAATTAAACAAAACCATAGATAATTAAAAAAATATTAGTCATTTATTTATAATTTATTGTTTATATTATCCCGTTTTTTTAATAATATAATTCAGTAACATATTTTAATTTTTATTTTTAAACAATTTTTTTTAAAGTAAAAAAAATCACGGCATTTTCAGTATTATTTTTGTAATTCACAAAACACTTGAAGATTGCGCAACAAACCAGTAAAATACCGGGTTCTTTTTGTATTTGTTATTAAAAGCTTTTAAATGCCAACCTATTTTCAAACTTCACAATTAATTCCATAAGATTTCCACAAAATGTTCAATGGCATCTGCTTTTATTTAAAAAATTTTGCATATATTATTTGATTGTCATATTTGTTTTCATTTGCCAAAATATAAATTTTTACATTCATTTATTGGTTCACATACCTGAACTGTTAAAAAAATCCTTTCAAAACATGAAAAACAAGTCGTTTTCAAAAGAAAAGGAACTCTTTGCATTTTTTACAGTTTGGTCATTTTCATTGCCAAATAGCAAAAGATTGTTTACAAACCAAATGAAAGAAATTGTTTCCAACCATAGTAATGCTCCATATTTCCCGAATCAATAAACCAAAATTCTATAACTTTTCAATAAAAATTGTCGATTACGCATTCAAATAAACTATACACATTAATTGAGCGACGAAAAGACGTCCCTCGCAAAACCACCAAAAAGCGCTGCCTGTTGAGACATAACAGTATATTGCCCAGTCCAATTCGCGTTTGCCTTCCCAGCCAAAGCAATGTTATACTTTTTCAACAAAGCCACGTCATTATAAAGGATTCCCTGGACATCCAAAAGTGCTTTTGAATATTCTTGGACAAAGTTACCCAAGTCTACAGTAGGCGTTTGACATTGAACAACCTCTGTTTTAACTTCCTTCATAACCTCCACCAAACTATTCTTCTCGCACTCCGACGACGCCCCAGCAACACTTTCATTGATTTTTTTCTCTTTGAGTCTAAAGCTAGCCCTTAATCCATAATTTCTCCCAGTCTCAATACAAGAACAGTGATTAAAAGTATCTAACAAGAGTTTCTTATAGTTCTGTCTCTTGAAGATAGAGAACGACGACACGCAGTTCCAATGTTCTGAGACAAAGTCATAGATGTCTTGTTTCATGGAGTAGAACTCCTTCTCGGGCTTAAGCTCCTTCAATGACTTCAATATGAGTACGCATAAGGCGGTGGTCTTCACTCGGTTTTGGGAGCTCTTTAAGAACTCTACCTTCTTGCATAGACTGCACTTACACGTGACGCCCGTTCCGGCCTTTTCAATCTTAAGACCTCTCATTTCCATTCCCTTTCCGACGTAAATTAGTCCAAGTTCTACGGCTATTTATAGTAGGTTTTTTTAATAAAAATAAATATTTTTAACAACCTCAAAGACCTAATATTTTATAGTTCTTTTATAGTTCTTTATTAGTGAAGGAAATTATAAAATAGGTCATAGTAGTCGTTGAGGTTTTTAAAAAAATAAAAATCATAAAAAAGGCGGGTTTCGGGAAGATTTAAGCCAAAAAGCCATTAAGTCTAAAAGTCAAAATTTTTTGAAAGAGAGAGTGAGAACAAACTGTTTGGTTTTACTATGGTAAAAGAAATAAGTGCCGCTCCAGATATTCAGCTCTGTAAACCCAAAGATGGCGACAGGACTCAATTAATTATCTTTGGGCTTGTTGTAAGGTTTTGCATTGTGCAAAGCCCCTTCCTCCTCGTGTTAGAGAAATTAAAATTTTTTTAGATTTCAAATTTTCCCTTTTATACGCTTTTTTATCTTTTTTTAGTATTGTTCGTTCCACCAAAACTATAAATGTAGAATATTATAGTATTTTGATACTAACATCAAAAAATAAGAAGAAAAAAACAATACAAAGAATGACAAAAGAATAAATGGAAGCAATAGGATCACTCCATTTTTTCTTGAGTTTTTTCTGTTAAAATCATTTTTTTATGGTTTTTTAATTGGTTGACTATTAATATTTTTATTAATTTATACAAAAGAACATTATGAAAAAAGTTAATTTAATATAACTTTGTGTAAAACAATTCTAGTATTGTTATTAAAGTTTTTTTAAAATAAGTTACGAACTCTACACACAAAATCATTCAAACTTAAGGGAATTTTAGACAAAAATGAATGTTTTTTTTTTCTGAATATGATAATTAATAAAAAATTAAAAAGTTTTATTAAAATATAATTTAATCGGGGAATCAAAAACAAAATTAATTGTTCAACTTTTTAAAAGTTTTTTTGCAAGTTTTTTTAATAATTCAAAATACTATAAATATGGTTTGGGTTTCGGTAAATAAAAGTGGAGATTTTGTACGCTTGAAATTTGTGTAAAAATCAACAAGAATAGAAATAAAAAAAATAGAACTAAAAAGAAAATCTTTATTTTACTATTTCGCACTTTAGTTCCCGTCGATTCATTCACTTTTTCACAATTATTGTATATATTAAAAATTAAATAAAAATAAAAAATATAATTACTCAAAAAATGATAATTTATTAAATTTTAACTACCAGAAACAAACTTTGTTTTTAAAACCAGTTTTCGGCTTGCCTTATGCGGAACGTTCTTATCCGATCTCCCTGATTGTAATGTGTGTCAGCATTAAAATAAGAAAAAAAAGCTCTTTTGACTCACTCCATCAAAATTTCACATTCACCAAAACGAAATGGGCGAAGCAACAACGGTGTACTCTGACAAACGCGAAACTTACTCGGGTATAAAAAACACATACCTTACAAAACTCAATATCAATCTTAAAGCAAGAAACGAAGACGATGAGTACCTCCAAATTGATTATGAAATTGAAAAACCGCGTTCTATTTCAAAACCTCTAAAAATCAAAAAAGATGTTTGTTGAAATTGTTATTCACTTTGTTATTAAAATCCTCACCAAATGTTCTATAAATAGACTCAACTGTAGAAGAGTTCTATCGGTGACGATGTACTCAAATTTATGCTTAAGCGCAGCACGAGCGACGAAGTTGCCGCGTGCTCTCCGCCTGACAATTAATTCTGTTTTTATCAACCTTCTTTTCTAATTGACTGCATTTCATATCTATTTGTCTGTATCTTAATCTGTTTACTTGTTATTAGTAAATTAATAGCAAAATATTTTATAAATTAATTACTATAAAAAATAGGAATTTTAATATGATAATTTTTATAATTACTCAAATAAGTTGGTACATTATAATTATTTATAATAATATAAATAATTATTAATTATTTTATAAATTAAAAAAAATATTAATAAAACTATAATTTATTTAATTAAAAAATAATAAAATAATAAAATTCAAAGAGTTATAATTAATCCAAAACGATTAAAAAAAAGAAAGAAAAAGTGAAAAACTCATATCAAAGAGATGCCACGAGAGATTGTGACGATCAACATTGGTCAATGTGGGAATCAACTTGGTTGTGAGTTCTTTAAAAAGATATGTGCTGAGCACGGGATTGGATCGGATGGGTCTTTGCTAACGAACGAGAACATCAATGATCGAAAAGACATTTTCTTTTACCAAGCCGATAACCAAAGATACATCCCACGCTCGATTAACGTTGATCTTGAACCCCGAGTTGTCGATTGGCTTCGTTGTGGTGAATTTAAGAACTTCTATAATCCCGAAAACCTCATAGTACCGACCAATAATGGTGCTGGTAATTCATGGGCGAACGGGTATTTTACTGTTGAAAAAATGAATGAAATAGAAGACGTGATTGATCGAGAAGTAGAGAATTGTGACAGTATGGAGGGGTTCTTCTTTTGTCATTCAATTTGTGGAGGTACAGGGAGTGGCCTTGGAAGTAAAATTATGGAGCTGATTAGTGACAAATACCCAAAGTGCACAACACAGGCATTCAGTGTTATGACAAGAAACCATCCGGATGTGGTTGTGTCACCTTATAACTCGATTTTGACACTCAAACGATTGATAACAGAGTGCCAGTCTGTTGTTGTGTTTGATAATGAGGCGTTAGCGGACATCGCACATTCACAATTTGGCATTGAAGAAGCAACTGCGTTTGATATGAACAATATTATATCGTATTCAATGTCCGCGTTCACTGCAAATATGCGATTTCCATCAACACTCTACAGCGGAATGGATTCGCTCATCTTCAGAATGTGCCCGTCGAGATTTGCACATTTTCTTGTGACGGGATTTGTGCCACTTTTCCAATCAGAACGACCAACAGGAAGGACAAGCGCCACAGACATCATGAAAAGACTGTTACAACCACAAAACATGATGGCGAAAGTCGATTTGAAAAAGGGGAAGTACATGTCGATTTGCGACTTCTTTCAAGGTGATGTCGGGTATGAAGAAATCAATGAAGCACTGCAAATATTCACAGATAAACGATTGGCCGATTTTGTACCTTGGAATAAAGACTCGTTGGAGGCTATACACACAAGGTCCTCACCTTTGATACAACGAGGAAACAGAATGAGTGGAATGACACTCTCCAACAACACATCAATCAGATTTTACTTCCAAGACATTTTGAATTCGTTCAACCAAATGTTTCAGAAAAAAGTCTTCCTGGAGTCGTACAAAGAAAAGTTCGAGGACAACTTGCAAGAATTTGAAGAGTCGAAAGAAATCGTCCGGTGTCTGATTGATGAATACGAGAAGGCGGAGACGCAAGACTATTTGAATTATCAATATCCCATTTACGAATGGTTGAAAGGGATGGCGTTGCAAAGTCAGTACAAGTAAAGCTCTTTCATGAACTAGAATATTATTGAATACAACAATAGTTAATTTAATTAAAACATTTCTATTTATTTGTATACCATGATTATTATTCATTATTATAAATTATAGTAATATACATAGTTCATTTATTTATATTATAAAAAATGGGATATTGATATTAAAATAAAATATTCATTTATATTTTACTCATATCGGGCATAAATATAGTAACTAAATTATAAAAAAGAGTTATTATAAATTAGTTACTCCATAATAGTTAATTAATTAACACGATAACTAGTTCAATAAGAATCAAAACCCGTTCTAAAAATACAAAGGCAACTGAAAACCCAAACAGTCAAACCAACATGCAAACCCTGAAAGTCTTTGATAAGGAGCAGAACCGTTTTGTTCAAGTCACGAGTGACAATCACATCCAGTTTGTCACTCACACCATGGAGATTAAAAATATTTACAAGTAGGGTTTTCAGTACGTTGACAAACAAAATGCAAGCGGAGTGTTACGACAAAGAAACCCTTGACTGCGAACCATCAGCCATTGCGATATGTTCTGAAGGTGTTGAAACTCCACAAAAGGGCGAGACGAAAAACAAACTTTCTGTGGCGGTAGGAAACCCACACGGTCGTGTAGTAGTATGGGATGTGAACAATTCGAAGCAGACAGGGTTTTACGATACCTCATCGCCCGTGACTGCTGTTGCCTTGTCGACGAAATTTTTGTACATTGGAACGTCGATTGGGGAAATGCTCGTGATCAACTTGGAGTCGACTGAGAAGCGCACTTTAAGTGTGAATCAGAGTGGAGTCAGTGTGATTAAACTGATTGGAAATCTGATCATAGCTGGTGGCATAGAAGTGAAAATATACAACAAAGTGACGCTTGAGAAAATTATTAAGCAATCGATCCACCTTACTTCTCTGAGAGGAATAGTTAACATCAGTAATGAACAGTTCATCACTTACTCTGATGAGAAACATATGTTCTTATGCAACACAACAGATAGAAATAGAATGCTCACATTCTCAACAGACTCTTCTCCAGTTGTGGTCGACGCACTTTTCATCGATAAGTTTAACTTACTTGTTGCTGCTTTATTGGACAATTCGATGATCGACGTCTATTTGTATAACACTAAGACTAAAACAGTCAAGCCGATCATTCCAGACTCGAAAATCAAAGTGACCAATTGTGTTAGCCTTTGTCTGTTTACTGATAGAGTGATGGTGGCCTTAGAGAGATCTGGGAAGTTGTATTTCCAACAAACCAAATTGCTTGAGAAAGGAAAGGTCATTGAGAAGATTAAAGAGATTGTCATCGACGACTCTGTTGACAAAACTAGTGCTGGGAACAATAAAATGATTGTCGAATCGAAAATGATGGAAGTCGTCCGCCCTGAGGACTTGGAAGAGAACACCCAAAATGAAAAGGCGACTTTCCAACAGAAGTTGAAGGCCATTGAACAACTTGGAACGAAAAAGCCAGAGACGATTGAGTTGGCCAAAAACGGAGTTGTCTTGACTTTGACAAGAGCGTTGGATACACAAGACCAAACATTGATAGCTAGATGCTTGAATATCGACGACACCACGGTCATTACTACTACTGTAGCCAATTTGCCAGTGGATTACGTCATTCAGTTACTTGATATTGTCTGCGACTTATTCACTAACACCCCAACAAAGGCATTTGTTGCTACATTGTGGCTGAAAAGCATCTTTGAATTGCATTTGTCTTACTTGATGAGCGTCAAGGAAGTCCACAAGAGTATTGCGAAGTTGTACTCCATCATTGAAAACAGAACAACTTGTTATAAGGGCATGCTCCGATTACACGGAAGAATGAACTTGTTGTTGACACAGATCGAAAAGAAGGAGAAGGTGAAAAAGGAAGCGAAGTGCGGCAGTTATGTTGAGAAGGGGAACGCAATGGAGACGGAGAGTTACAGTGAAGAAGAACAGATGGAAGAAGAAAGCTCATCAGAAGAAGAAGCACCTCAAGTCAAACTAAATAAACAAGCTGTATCTGAGGATTCGTCGTCTGAAAGTATGTCTGGGTCCGAATCACAATCCTCATCGAAGTCCAGTTCAGAGTCTGATTGATTGCTTTTATTACGTTTTTGATAAAATAAAGGAAATGAAAGACGAGGAAGAACGAAAAAAAGAGTTATAAATCAATCAAAGCATCGATGTTGTCGACAACTAACCCTTTTCTCTTCCGTGTATTTTCCATCGCCATTTTTGCAATGTTCTTCACATCGGCTTTCTCGCCAAATTCTTCTAACTCATCCGCAGTTTTCGGGGTCCAATATGGATCCATTGCCATGGTCACAAAACAATCGAATTTTGTTTGCGATAATGCAGAGCCGGAAGTTTGTCCAAGGATGTCAGTAGTAAAGCCAAAGGACTCGACGACAGGAAGTTGTGACTTGACAACATATAAATTTTGGGTTTCATCGTAATCGTCTTCAAGGATTTTTGCTCGTCGTTTGTCAAGCACTTGAAAGACTTTCCCAACGACTTCCGAAGGTGCTCGGACTTCACAGTAATAGACGGGTTCTTTCATTCTTCTCTTCCCCTTTTCAAATGATTCAATCATAGCAGTAGTAATCGCTTCTTTGACTTCATTTGTCGTGATCGGTGTTTCGCTGTCGGCGAAAACAAGCCTTTCAAGGACAAAGACAACACCCTCCATCTCTTCATCACACATCGGCCCTTTTCGTGTCACTTCTTCAAACGCCGAAATCATTCCATCATACACAGTGGCTACTCTCTTTTCAGTTTCACAAGTAACAACATTAGGCCACTCGCCAAAGTCAATTGGAGTCTTATTGACTAAGATGTTGTTCCCGATCTTCCCAGGCCCAAAGGCGATGATCTTCCCTTTGATGTTTTCTTCCTCGATTATCTTTGCGATCTTTCCACATATTACAATCTTGTTCTCATTTTCTTCATCACTCATTGAACGGAGTTGGTCTAAAAATCCATCGACCAGAACGACGTTCGTGTCTTTTAAGCCAAAATTGGTCATCTTGAAAGTCACATTGCCACTTAATGTCCCAATTTCAACACTCGGACTCTTCCCAAGAACAGTTTCTTTGTACGTTACAAGAGGATCCGTCGTGTTAAACGGTACCTTCGCAAAGATCTCTTTCAAGTCTTTCACGCATCGTTCCAAATGCAATTCGCCTGTTGTGTACAACACAATTTCTCCGGTGTCTTTCACTGTCGTATCAACTGATGGATCGGACAATGTTAATAAGTGCAACCCCATTTTCAAACGTTCCATATCTTCAATTTTAACTGGCTCAATGGCAACGGGAAGAATCGGTTTGGCCCCACTGGAGACTAATGGCATTAAAGGTGAACATTTTAATGTCGTCGACAACGTAGCGGCTTTAAAGACTTGAGTTTCATTCACTGGAATACCTACAATAGACCCGGCCGGTACTTCCTCCATTTCTTGAACTGTTTGCCCCATCAACAAATACAATTTCTCGACTGTAAATGTGTTAATTGTGGTATTGACACTTTCGTCGTCGGTCGGGATATACTTTGGAGGCAAAATATAGAGTTTGTCACCATTCTTGACAACTCCACAAAACACTCGACACATCGCTATCATCTGATTATGAAACGGAAAGACCTTTCCGGAATATAGAACAGTTTGAGCCGTGTCTTTGGCACATAACTCAATCTCTTTCTTTAAGTAATTGGAATTGGGATGACACAACTTCAATAATCGAGTTTTCTGAGCAACAAGAGGAGACGGGAGGTGTGTGATCACCATCGACAAAATACTTTTTGCTACGGGTAAGAACCCACTCATCATCGAAAACAAAAACGACTTTTCTTCGTGGATTTCTAATTCTCTGGCACTGATGTTGAGATTTAAAGACTTCACCATCACTTGAATTTTGGCCAGAGCTTTGTCATGTGTTTCTTTGTCAAAATATTGTTTGACGACGGTGTAGATTTCCCACACCGGTCTTAAAGCTAAGTAACTGAAACACTTCACAGTGTTCTCTACTTGTGTTTTATACGTCTTACCAGTTTTCATGTTAATGTAATGTTCCCCCCACATTAACGACTTCAACGCGTCTGTTTTCATCCCAAACCGTTTGGAATATATGGTCGAAATCATTTCAAGGTCAAACCCCCATCCATCTATCGCACTCGCAAAGACTACATTCCCTTTAATTGGGTCAAAGTAATTCTCCCCAAAGACTAAACCACTCTGATCAGTAACAAGAGAAGTGATTTTGTTAATTGACGCCAATAAAATTTCAAGGTGACTGGTCGCTTCATCAATCGAAAAACTCTTTTCGAAAACAAGTCGGTCGATTTTGTTAATGACTAACACTAAATGTAACCCATCGGCTGCGGCTTGTCGAATCACTGTGTTTGTCTGTACACAAACACCTTCAACACAATCAACTACAACAATGGCTCCATCAGTTACACGAACGGCACTACTAACTTCTCCACTAAAATCGACATGGCCCGGGGAGTCGACTAAATTGATCAAGTAGTGTTCTGTCTGTTCAGGGTTTTGGGCGTACAACGATATCGCTGTCGACTTCATTGTTATTTGTCTTTGTTGTTCGTCCTCTCTATAGTCCAAGTATCGTACTTTACCAGTCAACTTCTTACTGATGATACCATTCGACGCTATTAAAGAATCACAAATCGATGTCTTTCCATGGTCAACATGTGCCAAGACACATATGTTGCGTACATTTTGTTGGTTTTGTTGTAATTTGCTGATCACTTTGCTTGGGAGAATAGTCATCTGATTGTGTTTCTAATCAGTTGCAAGGGGTTAAATACTTTGAATCTTGTTGTTTGTCTGTTTGTTTGACCATATTATCTACTATATTTTAACTACAACAAAACTATAATTTCCAAGTTAGTAAATTTTATAATTCCATTATTGTTGAAGTGTTAAACTATAATATTATATTATTAATATTATTATTAAACTACCAAAATGACCGACACCAAACCTACACAAAACTAGTTTTCAAAAACTAGAAATAACTAAGGACATGTCTGAACCAGTGAATGACTTAATTATGTCGTTCAAAGCCGAACTTGAGAAGATGAAAGAAGAAATTTCCGAGCTGAAGAGTCGGGTGTTAGAATTAGAGTCAAACAACCACCCATGTCATCACCATTGTGAAGAGAAATGTAATTCCTCATGTGATGAGTGTTGCCACAGCAATGACCCAATTGAACATTTCAAACACGAAATAGGGTTGGGCACAGAGACTCAGGTTGAATTATTTCAAGTGACTCCGGACGACTTGTCCACAAAAGAGGTCGGTGCAGTTCCCCGTTTTACAGAAGGCACACCGAAAGAGAATGTTTTCAATAACACACGAATAACAACAGGCAAAGGAAAGAAGAAAGAGATCCGGTGTGTCTCTTCGACGTTTTTAGATCGGGACTGCGACTTACAATTGATATGGAAAGATCAGAACACATGTGTGATAGTTCCCTCTCTTGTGTTTTACATTGAAATTAAGTTGTCTGGGACGACGAAGTATAACTGGATATCTTTAGGTGCTTATGCGGATAAGAACATGTATATTAATCATCACATTGGCTGGGACAAAAAGACCATTGGGATACATTCTGATGATGGTAAAGTGTATGTTTGTAATGGACAGAAACCATTTGATTGCACAACGTACTTTGGGCCTGGAGACGTGATCGGGTGTGGTTGGAAGATCAAAGAGAAGTCCATCTTTTTCACTCGAAATGGGAAGTACCTCAAAGCGTTTGACTTCCCATTCAAAGTCGATGCTTTTGCTATTGGAATGAAAGAGTTCGAACTTATCGAAGTTATTAATGGCGAGGAGACTCCATTTATGTTCGACTTAGTTTCATTTGTTGAGGGACTAGCCAAGAAGGAAGAGTCAAATGAAGTTCCAGTATAAAAAAAGGAGAATTGATTGGATAGTTTATTATAGTTTCAATACTAACAGTTTATTAGTTTCCCTTCAAACTATACGTATCTACTACTCAATAGTTTAAGTAGGTCACAGACAAACCTCAAAGTTTGAACAGGAAAAGCAGAGGAATAATAATAATGTCGAAAGCTCGAGATTATTATGAAGTACTTGGTGTAGAGATTACTGCTACCAAAGAAGAGATAGTGAAGGCATATCGGAAGTTAGCACTTAAGCTACATCCCGACAAACAAGAGAACAAAGAAGAGGCGGAAAAGCAATTTCAAGAGTTAGCTGGAGCGTATGGAGTATTAAAAGATGACACCCAGAGGACGTGGTATGATCAGAAACGACATTTGATATTAGCTGGGATTAACCAAGAGGAAGAGAATGTGATCAATCTGTATGAGTATTTCAACACAAATTGCTTTGACAATTACGACGATAGCGAGACTGGATTTTACACTGTTTTTAACGAGTTATTCAAAAACATTGAAAATGAAGAAGGTGGAGGAAAACAGATGTGCGGCTTTGGGAAGTCGAATAGTACGATTAATGAGGTCAAAGCGTTTTACGAGAATTGGAAGTACTTTTGCTCGAAATTGGAGTTCTATGACAAGTTGCCGAATAACATAGCAGACGCCCCAAATCAACAAGTCCGAAGAGGGTGGAAAAAAGAGAACGAGAAAGTTCGCGATAAATTACGGAATGAAAGAACACAGAATGTTCGACAACTTGTTAACTATGTCCAACGATTGGACCCAAGGTGGGATCAAGTCAAAGCCGAAATGAGACGACAAAAGGAATTACGCGAAGAAAAAGAGGCAAAACAAGAAGCAGCAAGACAACAACGAGAACACGAACGTCGACAAAAAGAATTGGAAAGTTTTAAGGACTTTGAACTCCCTCAAGAGGAAGAAGATGAAATAGAAAAACTGTCGAAGTATTACGAAGGAAAAGCAGTCGACACCGATGATGAGAAAGAAGTCGAAGAATTCTGTTGTGTTGTCTGTGACAAGAAATTTAAAAGTGAAGGACAACTCAAGACTCATGAAAACTCTAAAAAGCACAAACAAATGCTCAAACTCTTAAGAAAGGAAATGGAAAAAATCAATTGATTGTTTTGTTCGTAAGTGTGGTGTAAAGACTACATAATATCATTATCACTGATGTCTCATCCGCATCACTCATATATTCTTTCTTTGGTATTATCAAAGCTTTCAAGTTATATAGTGCTCGTGTGATTTCTGAGTAGATGGTATCAATAGACTATAGATTACTATATATTATAAATAAATAACTATATATAGTATATATACTATATATATACTATAAAAACAAACTGTAATACTCGTCGAGTCTAATGATAACATATATTTCAGTTCTGGACGATGTAATGCTATAAGATTTGAAAATGCAATTCCATCAGAAAAAGAGTCATTGAAATTGTCAATTGGTATGTCTACTTGAGATAATGAATTAATGGTCCACCCAATAACAGCATCAAGTCCTTGAATAGATTTATAGTGAGCTTTTGGAAGGACATATAGTTCAAAAATGATTAAGATTAAATCCAAAAGAGCGGTATCTATATTATTAACTATATCGATAGAATTGATTGTAATGGGAATTTCACTGTACATTTCAATATCCGAAAAAATGGAATTCACAATTTTGATTTGTTCGGAAGACCCCATTTGTAATAGTTCGACTTCTCGACGAGAAATCTTCTTGTAGAATTCTAAAATTAATTTGACGTCTTTTAATTCATCAAATGAAAGTCGTCGGTCTACTACTTTACTCACAAATTGTAGAACTACATCTTTTCTCATCTCCAATTGTGTGTTCGATTCAGTTTCTTTCAGCAACTTAAATTCATGTTGTTTCTCCCTGTTTCGTGGCGTTTTGAGAAAACTTCCTTTTTTACTTTGTTTTTGTTCCTGCGACCCATTAGAATTCGAAGCTTCTTGGTCTTTCACAACATCAATCAAATCAACAATTTCAGACAATGGCGTGTCTTGGAGAATCAAATTGAGGACTTGCACCCATATTGCAATTACAGTATTACTCGCTAATAAAGTAATACACTCGTTATCACTCTTTAATTCTAAAAACGACATCTTGTCCGTATGTGTTGTATTTTTGACTTGTTTAATACTTTTAATATCAATCAACTTGAGGGGTTTCTTTCTATTGTCAAAATCACTGACACTGTCAAACACTAAAAGATCCTCCTCAGTAAGCACCCAATATTTCACATTCGGATCTTCCTTTAGAAATCCGTAGTTCGTGAGTATTATCCCGGCCATTTCTTTATTATCTAATTATTTAAATAAAAATTTATTCATGCAAATATGAAAAAAAATGAAATGATGTTTTCTTAAATTCAAATTATAATTATTAGTAAATACCACTTATAAATAACAATATTGATATTACTAATTATTTCACTAGTAAATAATAGTATATTTCTTTTGAAACTTAAAATAAACTATTCTTTTATAATAATCAATAAATATGATTAATATAATTAATTTAATTATAAAAATGTAGTAAAGATTAATAACAAAATATAGTAATAAGAAACGTCATTGAATAAATTATTTAGTATTCTTTATATATTATATATATCAAAAAAGATGATAAAATGATATGTTGTGTGGAATGTAATAACATCTAAGGAGGGAAAAAATAATAATATTGATTGGTAGGGAGAATCACAAAAATCCGATAAATTAAACGACAATCGGTTTTGCCACAATGAACGACTTCTTGAAAAACGCACAATGTTTAGGTGACGCCTTACACGCGAGCTCAATGTATTTCTCGCACTTACCCATACGCTCGTTCGCGAGTTTGACGTACTTAATTGCCTTCTTGGCAAGTTTCTTCTCGGATGGGCCGATTTTGAGTGAGCTTTTCTTCTGCTCTTGTTTCACGAGTTTGTTTTGGAGGTGTTTGACAATCTTGGCAACCTTTATCTTCGAGACGACGTCGAAACGTTTAATCAGCTTCTTCAATTGTTTCTGTGCCTTCTTATTCTTCCCAGCAACAGCAGAAAGTTGTTTGTTCAGCTCTCTTGCAATTTGTTTCACGTTTGAATTTTTCTTGATTTGTTTCATCGATTGACGATACAGTTTCTCCATCTTTTTTTGTAATTTAACCGCTGCTACCTTGGCTTGGATCTTTTTCAACTTCCTGGCCAAACGCTTCGCGTTCTTCACCATTTGCGCACGCTTCTTCTCGGTCATTTTCTCTTTCTTTGGCGAATCTTCCTTCCTCGCTTCGACATCAACTTGTTTAATCGCTTCTTTGTATTCTTTGTACAACGGGTCGCTTTTCACAGTACTCGAAGTGGCACCCTCGTCCGCGTGCACTAAGACAAGTAATAAAAGTCCTATCACGATCGCTCGCATCGTTTATAAAATATATTATTAAGTTCTAGTTCTGTTTATTTTTTATAATTATTCGATTGATTTTTGTTTTTTAATTATAGTTTTTAGTTATTTTTTTGGTCAATTAAAGCAGTTCTTTTAATTTATTACTTTTCATTAGATTAATTATAATATTCAAATATACCTGTTATTTCTAACTAATAGTTTGTTTAAATATATTCTTTATTACATTAAAATATATTAAAATATATAGTTATTTATACCATTTGTTTTTGACTTTGATTATCTAATATTTATTAATAAATAATTTCAAATAGATTAGAAAAAATGAGATAAATAAAACACAACTAAAAAAACTAGATGACAGACCAAGTTGAATCACTCTGTCAACTTCTCAAATCTGGAGATTCAGAAACCGAAGCTTTAAAAGGTAAGATTTTAGAAGAAATACCAAAGATTACATTTAAACTATCGCAGAGGACAACATTTTTTGCGACGAAAGCTATGTTGAGATCTACACATCTACTTGAGTTTGTTGCCGTATTTTTGGACAACAACCAAGACGACACTCTATCTCTGTTGTTACAAAGTGCCTATTACTTTAAGAGGTACCCAATTACAAGAGATTTTCGAACAATAGAGAAAAGAGAGTTGACGGATCTACAATTCAAAAGGCTAAGACGTTTACAGGAATTATTATATGAAACACAGTTGAAAAATTTGGCGCTCTTGACTGTTGCTCAACTTTTGAACAAATTTCTTGTGATTTTTTCACACACCGAAATTTTGATGAGTATTTTGATAGCCATTAGGGTAGTACAAAAAGACGAGATCATCCCGCCGAAAGTTGCAGAAAAATTGTTTTTGGAGTATTTTGTAAATGAAGTGTCGGAGGATGTAGGGATTGAAATGACGTCGTCAAACTACCCAACGGAGGAGTGGCTGGAAACAGATGAAATTCCAAAGGAATGTCTCCCTATATTGACAGATACTTATATCGACCTTTATGACTACGTCAAAAGAAATTACATTTTGTATAGAAAAGAGGCGTTTGACGCGGCGTGTGAAGACATGGTGACGTCTCTTCAGCAAATCGGAATCGCAAAATCCAAAGACAGCATTCGAGTGAAAAGGTACGGAAAGCGAACATTGCCTATTATCAGTTTTGAAACAACCTTTGTTGGGGGTGAAAATATTTCTGGTGGAGAAAGAGATGTGCTTGGAGAGGTCACCGTCAATCCAGTAGACGCCGCCGAGATCGATGGGAAGAAGGAAAAATGGGAATTTGTTCTTCACGAAATCGTGTTTTTGGTTTCGTTTGAAGAGAACGGAAAAGTCAAAAAGGTGAGGGGAGGCGAAATTTTGAAGATATGTGATTTGGAAGGAAGAGATGAAGCGCAAGGAAAGCTAAAAGGGAGTGGGAGAAAGTTACAGGTGAAAATGGACGGCAATCAGTATGAAAAAGACCAAAAGAAGGAGTTCGGTGAATATCATTTTGATGTTCTTATAAGTCGGGACAAAGAGGTCGGCACGTTCAAAAAGACGATTGAAAATGTAAAGGAAATTATGAAAAAAAAGAAGTTTGGTGAGATAAGCCAGCAAATGAGTGATGTGCTACTTGGAATTAAAAACAAACCAACTGTTGTCAACGAACAAATAAAATCTATTCAAATGGAGGAAGAGAGTCGACAAACAAATACAGAGGGGTCAAAAGATAAAGTCGAAACAAGCAATGAAGGTATTACACATGAAACCAACCCGAGTTTCACTGCAATAATGAGTGGGCAATTTCCGTGGAACCCCGAGCAAAAAGAGGTTTTAAACGGCTTTATTTCAGGAGAGAGTATGAAAGTTACAGGAAAGGAACGAACTGGAAAAAGCAGTTTAGTGACTCAGATGGCGATTTCAGCCTATTCCCAGAAAAAGCGAGTGTTGGTTGTCACGCACTCAAATTTGTGTTTGAACAACTTCGTCCAAGGGTTGGTAAGAAGTGGCGTGTATGATGGCAAAATTGTTCGTCTTGGCCACGGCAATCAAGAGCTCTTTGAATCCTCGAAAATTGATTTCAGCAAACGTGGGCGCGTAGAGAAAGCACTTCAAGAGAGACAAAGTCTTCTCACTTATCTTCAGAGTATTGCCGAGAAAGTTGGTCTTCCACAACAAAATTTTCAAAGTTTGCAACTTTCGTTGCAATTCATCAAATCGTTAAAAGAACAAACAGCCGAGAAGAGCGGAGTGACTGACGAGCAACTTAGTGAAATTGAAAAGGAAGTCAAGTTGCTTCTTCCGCTTGAAATTTTTCGTTCGCAAAAGCAAAAAGAGAATTATATTATGAATAAGTTTTGTCAAATTGTGGCAATGACGTCAACATTTGTGTCAATACAGTTCAACGACATTGACCAACACTTCGATTTGGTGATTATTGACGAGGCTGGTACGATGTTAGAACTCGAGATGGGGCTTCTTGTAATGCTTATGGGAATTCATGGAACAAAGCAAATTATAGCGGTTGGCAATGAGAGTGATATTCCCTCAGTTATACACGACAAAGAGACGAGCGAGTACACGCGACTTAACAAAGGGCTCTTCCATCGAATGTGTAATGTTAAGACGATCGACTTGAAAACTTCTTATAATTTATGATTGGAACAACTTTATTTTTAATGAAATAACTATGTTCAAAAACATTCATTGCTTATAAAAATCACTTTTCTTCTAGTGTTGTTTCTTGCTGGATTTGTTCAAAAACTTTCTCTGGTACTTCGATGTCACTGCCAATGTCGCTTGGACGTGCACTAGCTCCTGCCGATTTCTCTTCGTCGTCTGTTGATTCGTCTGTCCCTTCTTGCTGGATTTGGGATACAAGGTTCTTATCGATTTCGATATCCTCGTTTTGTTGTTCGAGTTCAACCTCTTTACCTGTCTTCGCCTCTTTAAGAGCCAACCGTCTCTCTAAGAAGAACGTGATGCCTTGTGTTATCAAACATAATATAATTCCAACAATTTGCAAAACAAACCCAAACCACAGCGCCCATCTTCTATCGTTTGTTTTTGTCGCAATAAGTCCTGCAAACAGTGGACATAAGCAGCACGTCAGTTCACCGACACACTCTGACATCCCCAAAATCAACCCCTTCAGTTTGGGGCCGGAGTTGATCGAGTATAATACGTTACTCTGCAAATCAAAACCAGATATGAACCCAACTGGAATCGCAAGAACACACAAAATCCACCCATTCCTCAAGTAAATCAAACCGACACAAATTGCAGCTATAATCACTTGAACAATAACATTGAAAATTTGCTTGTATTGCCAGAACGACACTTGTCCCAACAAAAAGAAGCATAAAGATTGGCTGAAATAAACGATTCCAAGAAAACAGCTACAGAATGTCCCAGGGTCATCATTCGCGCCATTCAAAACAATTTTGTTTTCATCTGCAAAGTCGATGTACTGATTCCCAAATACCGCAATTGTTCCGTAAACGGTAAAGTGTACAACCAACTCGTTGATATAATACATAAAGAAATAGTGCGGAATCGGACGTGGTCTTGTGAGGAAGTTTCCGTCTTGTATTTCGACGTCCTTCTCTTCGATCACATCCCCATTCATTCGCAACTTCTCCAATTTCTTTTCAAGTTTCTTCTTCCGCTTCTCTTCTCTCTTTTTTGCACGTTTTTCGTTGACACTTTCGCTGTTGTTTTGTGGGAAGCGCGGGAACACAACAAATGCGACCAAGACAATTAACGCGGAGAAGTACAACGAATAGCTGTAACCAAATGCCCGTCGCATTGGTCCACCCAGAACAAAGCCAATAGCCTTACCAAGACTCCACGACACACAAAACCAACTCATTTTCTCATTAGTTTCTCCTTTATAAATTTGGTTTGAAAGTAAATACTCGCAAATGGACCAGAAGAATGCTAAAGCGAACGACTCCTGAATCAACAAAAAGAAGATTGGAAGGAGTGTTGTTCCTGTGATGTAAAACAATGCGATAGAAATCGCACACGTCGCCTGCAAGACAAAACCTATTCGACAAATAACATCGGGGCACAAATATTGTCGTGAAGCTACCATCCCTATGATCGGGGAGAGAAGCCCAGTGATCCCAAACGTAACGGCGTCCGCAAGACCAATCATAAAAGGATCAGCGTCACCTCTTTCCTTCATAAGAAGCTAATTGTTAGAGTCATTTTGTGTTAATAAATAATACAAACTGGCAAGACTAACCAACACATATATGTGCTTAAATTGATAGTAAATCCTCCAATGTAGAAGTTCAAGATGTTAAACCGTTGGATGAAGCGAACTACTTTGTTGCCACTCGTCTCGCTCATTTTGTTTATCCAGTTCTGCGTTTTAGGTTTTACGTCGAGTTCTTGTGAAGAAGACTGTTTTTCATTTCTACATACTAATTCGTGTACTTGGGCATTCTTTTCGTTTCTTCTACGGTTTTCTCGTCTTTGTGGCCTTTTTGTGGTTCTTTTATTAATTTGTAAATAGTTTTCAATGGTTTTAAATAGTTCTTTGGTCATATAATGTTCATAAAAAGTTTGGCAGTTTAGTTTCAAAAATGGTATTTAAACTATAATTTCGTTCGAAACAATGTTGAATTTATTCTTTATAATATTAGCACGGTTTTGTTTAAAAAACGGGATAATTATTCTTATTATTTTGAGAAAATCTTCTTTTGAAAAATTTGATTATTGTTTGCCCTCAACTTTTTGTATTTGTGTTATTGTTTTCACATGGTTGGTTAATAATTAATTATCTAATCGATTATAGTTTAATGGTAAATGTATATAATTTAGTAATTTACTAGTTGTTTTATAATAAAAACACCACAAAAAACATTTTTATTACATTAAAAGAACAAAAAAGCTCGTTAATTAAAAAAGACTTGAAAAACAGTTAAAATGTTGAAAAAGAGTTTTATTTTTTATTGTCCATTGATCTAGTTAATTTTATAATTAATAAACAATAAATACAAAAACATAAGTGTATTAAAACCATTGCAAAACTATAATTCTGTCAATAGTAAATGTGTTTGGGGAGACGGTGTTATTGAATATGGATGATCCAAAGCCCGATTGATCAACAAAGAAAGAACTGAAGGTGTTGTCGATTTTCGATAACCCGTTTGTTCTTATGTAGAAGCAGTGATAGCAATAAATAAGCCATGAGTCGTCTTCTCCATAAGCGTTGATGCAAAATGTGAGTGTATTAGTTTTGTGAGCAAATTTGAGTGGTTGTGTGTTGTGTGGATTTTTCAAAGAGAAAGCAAAGAAGTCGTCGTCTTCTTTAACGAATGAAATTGAATTTGTTTCTATTGGGAGTTGTGCACCGTTGAAACATCCAAACACAGATGATTTGGAACATACTATAAACATTGTTTTTGCCTTTGCGCATGTTCTTGCGTTGATCAATTTTCTAGAAAGTCCATCTAAGTTTGAGTCATATAAAACGTTGTATTGTTGTGACTTACACCACCCCTTTAATGTGAATTCATACTCTGAAAATGGGTATTGTTTGTTTTGTGGGATCTCCTTAAAGTTGTACTCCGACCGTGTTTTAAATTTGCTTCTATTATTTCTTATCATCTCAACTTCAACTTCCTTTTCTTGAAGGTATTGAGTCGTTTGTTTCGATTGAAACATTTGTTCAAAGGCCTTAAAGTCCGCCGAGTTATCAGAAATGCCTCTACACGACTCAGACCTTCCATGCTGTGTTTTAGATTTAATTGCAACGACTGTTGTACTTGGCTTTTTATCAACTTTTTTTAAAGAACTTTCAACTTTTCTTATATTGAATGGGATCTTTGGTTGAACACAAAGCTCCAGTTCATTGGATGACTTTGATCGACTTAATAATTGATCTTCTTTTGGTTGTTTGGTTTGAGTTAGATAATCGTGTGGAATATTTGAGTATTGTTCTATGTGCGATAGTTGTCCCTTTTTCTTCAAATTATCCGACTTGGACAATTTCAGTTCTTTAGAATAATCACTTGAATAACATCTTGGTGTTGTATCCAAACAATTATCAATCATTGATGTCACAGAATGGCCGCTTGTGCCGTATATATTGATAATCCCATTATTCATTATAGTCGTGATGGTGACCATGTTAAATGCCTTTTTTTTCAACTCTAAAACAACTCTTATAAATATCCAAATTCATATTTCTCAACATCCTGACCATTAGTGAGTCTTTGAATTACTTTTACTATTATTTATAGTATATATAATAATATTATACTATTTCATAATTTAAATCCAAAAAACGATATAATAAAACGGAAAAGTATTGGAAGAAATTTCTATTTTTTAAAATAAACCATTTTTGTAAAATATCGGGATTTTAGCATTTTTATTATCAGAATCTTCATTTATCTTTTTTTGCAACTGTTGAATGAAAAAGACCTTTATCGATGTTTTTTTTTGTTTAGAAATATCAATAAATACTTCGAATATATAATACTTTAAACTACAATTTTATTGTTTTTTTATTAATACTATTAAAATAGTAATACAATAAAAAAAAGATGAACTGTACTGTTTAAAGAATATATAACTATAATATAGTTATATATTAATTATATGTACAGTATTATTATTTTTTCTAATATAAACCATTTCTTTAATTTTGGTAATGACTAGTAAAATATAATAACCTTAATGGTACAATTACAATTATTTAGTCTGACAGAGTATTTTAGCGATAGTGATATCCATTCTCTGTATAGTGCAGACTCCATCGACCGACTCGAGTGAGTGGAGGTATTTAGAAACCTCTCCACCTATTCTCGATATTTGTTCCTGGTCGAACAAAAAGAAGTCGTTTTCATTTCTTATTCCGAAAATTGATTCGGCCTTAAGTGTTCCTCTCTTTCCTGTGGACACATGGACATCAAAATCAAATCCTTTCAGTTCCAACATGTCAGCAAGAGTGTGTACGGTGTCCACCACTCTATAATTTTCGCATCTTCTGAGTGCTGTTTTCAACGATGATCCTTCCGCAACCTCCGAATTGAGTCTCTCGCTTATTCTTCTCTCGATGAGCTCTTTGAAGTAGATCGGATCTTTGTCTTCTATGGTGAGAATTCTGAAGAATGGGACTGTCACAAGTGTTTGCTTCTTGTGAGCTGTGAATGTGATCGCATAGAACTGATTTAAGAGTGCAAGCAAGACACACTCTTGCTCACTCTGGTAGTTCCTGATTTCCCTGAAGGAGTATACACACTTGAACGAGCTTGGATTGACCCCTTTGAACTCCTGGTGGGCAGCTGTGAACGCTATCGATTGCATGATCGCTGAGAATTTCACGAATTACTCACAGTTCACTTCGCTTTATATAGTTTCGGGTATAGTTTTTTTTTAATTTAAGTATAATTTGATGGGAAAAGAACTACGCACCATTTATGGATGGCACCTAGAAAAAGGGCGCAACAAAGATGGTTTGTGAACTAAATGCTTTTACTATAACTTATAGCTTTTATTATTTCTTTTTTCAACAAAAGTTCGAAACCACCTTCTATTTTCTTTTTTTATTATTTGTTGACGTAAAAGTACTAAAATATCCCGATTTTGTAAATAATTTGATTGTATTATTAATTTAATTATAATAACAATTATTTTATAAACTGGATTCTTATTGGCAAACCATATTTTTGGGTTATAAAATAGAATAAAATAATATACAACTGGTAAATGAAATAGAAATCTGCCGAGATATAAAAAGTCTATATGACATAAATAGAATTCGAATTAAAATCGAATTAATTAATGAATAGTAAAGTTAAGATAATTAATAAAAAGAACAAAAACCCTTGAGTAGAAGTCATGAAAAAAGCACACATCCAAAGTCAACACCAGAAAATGAAATTCAAAGTTCGCCTCTGATCTCGATAATGAACACGCACAAATACAAATTAACAACATTTTGCAACAACAAATATTATAACAATTAATAAAAGAAATCATAAAAAAAATTATTAAAAAAATAATTTAAAAAAATTCTAAAATAATACACAAATTTGAAAAATAATAAAACATTTTGAATAACATATTCAACAAACTTTGTTTTTCGATGCGACAGAAACCTAATGTGACTCTCGCACCTTCCCGCGCTGGGATATGTTGCTTAATGCATCATTTTAACACACTTTTGTTCGACTGGTTTTAGAATTCTGATATTGTGAATTGCTGTGAATTAGAAGTATCAACTTTGTGGTGCTATTAAGTAGCCACACTAAAAAGTTCTTAGATTTACATATAATGTGCTAAGTGTTAGTGCAGAGACACATTTCATGTTGTAAAAGGTAGTGGGTGTCGTTCTTGTGTCTTTAAACAAGACGACCTCTTTTGGGCGTTTTTGTGCTTTTGTTGTCGGATTTTCTCCAGAATTGTTGGACTCTCCCTGTTTATAGAACAATTGTAAACTGGTTTATTTACTAGCAAGTTGTGGTTGTCCGCACCAAAAAGTTTTTTCGTTTTTGATTTTTTGATTTTTTTGCTTCGGCTTTCTTCTTCAATTATTGTGTCTTGTGGCAGATAAAAATTTAGCAAATTTTCGGGAAATAATCACAATCCAAACCGCACTTTGAGTTTTAATTTATTTACTGAAACTTTTTTTTTATACCAAATGTTTTTACTATTTATTTTAATTGATTTAACCATATTTATTAGTAAAAATACTCATTTTGTTTTTCTTTTTTGTTTTTTTGAGCGTATATTTAGCGACATTTTTTTTGATTTCAATGAATTACAATTGAATTATACATTATAGCAATTGTCTATTGGAAAAAAACTTTTTATGACATTTTTCTGGACTTTGTGTTATTCTTTCTGTTTGGCGAATTTAATTGGTGGCATTTACATCCACTGACAACGTCGTTGTTCAAACATATTTTATTATTGACGCAAAAACGATTTTGCTGATATTTAAATTTTATGATAGACAAATCGTCACCAATATTACACCGCACAACCGTGCATTCCCATACCGCCATTTTGTCCACTCTATTAATACACACATTTTCTTTTGATTCACCCAATCAAAATAGACACAGCATTGTATTATTCCATGTATTGCTTTGTTTGTTTTAAGTCTACAGATAAACAGAAGACTGTATTCCGCTGCCACAATTGCCAAATGTACCTTTTTTCATTTTATTTTCAGATTATTATTAATTTACAAGTTCGTGCGGAACTAACCAAATAACACTTTTTATTAATTAAATTATACTTATTTCATAGAAATTGTTATTTATATAATATAATAAACTTTTCGTATTAAAAACTCTTGTTGATTATTTACATGATTTGTTTGTAAACTTTCTTTATGTCTTCAGGTACTTTATAACGATTGACTTTAAAACACGTTTTCGAAATAATAAGTTTACAAAACTGTATTATGTAAGTATTATATAAAATTAATTGTAATATAAATTAAGTATCTTAGACTGTCATATGATTATTATACTATAATATAACAATAATAATAATTTTATAGTTTGAAATATTAAGAACAAACTATAAAATGTAAATAATTTTTAATATATTAATTCAAATTTTTTTTATCGCATCAACAAAATAACAATTATAAGTATTTTATACTAACTATTTTAATAATATTATTTCAAAACCAAAGTTATAAACTTATTATTGATTATAATTATTTGATTATTTTATTTTGAATTTTTTGATTTTGAATTTCAACTCAAAAAATGAAAAGAAAAGATTGAAAAATGCTGAACGAGTGCATGGAAAGGACGCGATATTCACAGGCATTATTATGTATTTTTGTTCACACAACATAGTCACCATACTCTTTGCTCTGTCACTGGCTGTTCCTGTCGTTCGGATATTTTACAACGAATCTTCCCCGCCAAGAACCGAAGAGATCTGGAAGAAATTTGCACCATCCCTCACCAGAAAGCAGTTCGACCTCCGGTACGGAGGTGGAAATAATTACAGCCAAATTATTAACATTGTTGACGAACCCAATGAAGTTGTTGTTGTTGCCATTGACGAGATCACAAACACAATGGGCGACGAATACATCGAAGCTCAAAAGCCATTGATTAGACTTTTAACAGAAAACAATTCAGCTCCTTTTACTGTTGAAATTATGCCGTCGATGGACACAATTGTTGCCACACTTTCCAAACTGCTTGTGGATAACAACTATGATAACATCGTCGTCGTTCCCGACAACAAAACCAAAATTTCAAGTGACGTAGACGCTGTTATTGTCAAATCTGACAATTCAAACAACACACTCGATTTGATCAAAAACGGAATTAAAACCGGAACTCCCGTTTTTGTTATTCTTCCAATCAATCTGCTTGAACCGACTTATTTTGTTATTCAACTTCTGAGAAGAGAAAACACTTTTATTGTTGTTCCAGTCGTCACCAAAGACCACATGGCGCAGATCAAGTCGGACTTTGTACCATATCAGGCATATTTGTACGACGCAATGCTTGTTGCTTCACATGCAGTTTCCGTATCACTCACAAACAACACCCCACTAGAGCTTTTTCAAGGAATGGTGGCAACACAATACAATGGGATGAGTGGAGTGTTTTCTTTTGGAATTGATGGAAAGCGAGATAAGTTTCTTTTTTCCATTACACTGCTCGAAAATTCGGAAACTTTGAAACAATTTGGTTTAATCGATGAGGGTGGGTATACCATCACCAATCCATCACTCTTACCAAAGAAAAGCAATATTTTGGTTATTGCCGTTTCTGTGTCGTGCGCTATTTTTGTGTTTTTCATAATTTTTGTTGGTGCGGCATTGATTGTTGGACTGGTTGTCAGATCTGCAGTTGTTGGCAAAATCGGGATTAGTGATGTCGCACTCACCTTACCCCCGCTTAGCGCGACAAATCACTCAAAAACCTATTACGGGATGTGGAGGCTCAAAAAGGTGTGTGTGAAGGTTCTCACCACTGCCCACTCGGCCGAAGAAATAAAAAACACAATCAATTTTTTGCGAAAGTTGAAAAATGAAAGGATAATCCGAGTGTATGGAGGAAACACAAATCCAGAGATGATAGTTATGGAATTTGCAGAAAGGGAGTCTCTCCATTCGATTGTTTTGTGCTTTGACGCCTACATACAAGTCAAAGAGGTGCAATACAAAGTAATAGCACAGATTCTTGAGGGATTGACCTATCTTCATCAAAAGAAAATACTGCACCTAAATTTGACTCCAAGCAACGTTCTTATCACAACAAATTACGACGCAAAACTTTCAGATATGGAGGTATCAGTTTTTGCACATCAAAGGATAGAATTGATCGACTGGAAAAAGATAAAGATACGTTACTCACCACCAGAAATCCTCGACAACTCGGAACTGGATGAACGGACGGACGTGTATATGTGGGCGATGGTCATTTGGTTTATTGCAACGTCAATTCACCCATTCCAAGAAATTTCAGACAAGAAGAGACTTATCGACACAATAAAATCGGGAGAAAAGCCCATTTCAAGTCTAATCAATGACAGTGATTTGATTGAATGCGTTGAGATGTGCTGGAAACCCAAAGAAAAAAGACCAAGTGTGGCCGCCTTGAAAGGCATTGCCAATTTTACACACTTCACACATGTACATTAGTTACTGTGGTGTGTAATTCACAATCTTATTTCTTTCTTTGTTACATTCAAATCATGGTCATATTCAGTTTGCTTTTATGATAAATAAATAATAGTATTTATCATATTTTTTGATTTTTACAAAAAAAGCACAAGTTAAGATAAGAAAATACTCGAAATAATATAAAAATTCAACACTATAAAATATTTTTTAAATTAATAAAATATTATATATAATTACACATACTATTTAACAAATTAGTAACATTTTAAATATTGAAAAAATAAATATGTTTTTGTGTTTGTAATGGCTTTTTCGATTTATCATTGTTTCAATTGAACTATTAATTTATTATATAAAACTATCAAAAACGAGTTTTACATAATCTTACTTTAAAATTTTCGGTGTTTCAATCACAGTACACAAAAGGTTGAAAATACCAAAAAACGAATTAAAAAAATGATGGAATTAATTATACTATATAGTATTTTTATTGGTAAGTATAGTTCAAACCTCAAATTGTCCAACTGTATATAAATAAACGTGTTTTGCATAATCAAAAACAACGACAGTGTCGCGATCTTTAAAACTCAATATGCTTAGTCTTTTCCACACCCGTTTGTTTTCGCCATTGATGTGGTAATGCTGATGTTTAGAAAAGGTGTTTGGAGTTAGTATAGAAAAGATCAGATCGATATATTTAGAGAATGATATCCCAAGGTTTTTGACTGAATGTGCGACATTTATTCTACAAAGTTTGTGTATTTGTAATAATTTTTCTGAATGTGTAATTACACTTTAATAATAATGTATTATATATTGTCTTATAAATTATATTATAAATAAAATAAACATTGTTCTTACAAATTAGATGAAACTACTGGCATCTTCAGAATTCCAGGCGATATCAAAAAGGTGCAAAGTTACAAGAAAAAGGCGGATAAGTGTGTTTCACTCGAGTTGCTTTTTGAACCAAAACACGTCCACACAGTCACTTCTTTGATGACTCAATTTCTTAAGGACTTACCAGACCCAATAATACCACGGGAGTTGTACCCAAAGTTTTTAGCATGTGCCTCAACTTATTATTCCGAGAAATTTACCAACCAAAATGCATTGGCGGTTGCAGCAAACACCTTTCACTTCTTGTTACTTTCGATGCCACCAAAGAATCTCAAAGTTCTAGCGTTTTATATGAATTTCTTTTACAATTTGACAATCAATAATCAAAGTGTCCACAAAATGAATTCAGTGAACCTTTCGACGTGTGTAGCTCCAAATGTTTTACGAGGGGACAACGTAACAAAATATGAGGAGATCCATTTGCAGGTGTTGACTGGCACATTTTTCATTGAATATTATCCATTGCTCTTCAGAGACACTTGTTTAACAAATGGATTACTTTTCCCACAGTACCAAAACGTTTCATTTGACTCAAAGAATATAGAACTTCAGAAATTAACTAAATCTGTTGTCTTGACTCCGAGAAATCGTCCACAGAAGAAAGTGACAGAAAGCATTTGGAAGGGGTTCAATGTCAAGCTTCAAAAAGAACAAGAGATCGACGAATTGTTCCAGTGGAGAAAAACAGCCCAAAACCAATGTGAAAAACTCTCGAAGAGTACTATTGACCTCTACCACAATCAAAATGAATTAGAGAGTCATCTAGTCAGGTCTTTTTTGCGGCCAAAAAGCGAGAGTATTGCTACAACACTTATTGAGATCCAAAAGGAAGACATCAATTTACCAAAAATCGATACAACAACTTTGTTCATGAACAAAGAGAAAAAAAAGAAGTTATCTTTCGATATTCCACTTAAGAAAATGCATCGCAAATGCACCATTTCAAATTATTAAAAGCTCTTCATGTTATTAAAATGTTATTGATAGTCTTGTTATAAATGTTATTATAATTGTTTTATAATTGTTTTATAATTGTCATTTAAATGTTATACAATTTGTTCTATTAAATGTTCTATTAAATTTGTTATTAAAGTGTAATTAAAATGTATAACACAAATTTTACAAAATAATCAAACGAGTTTATGTTTTTTCATATAGTTGAATTGTGTTTTTATGGATTTAAGAACCAATATGCCAAACGTTGGGTCTTGTTGTTCTGGTGGCAATTTGATAACATCCTCAAAATTCACAACTTCGACATTTTTAAATTTTTGCCCTTTTAGACTGTGCGATTTCAACGTCTCCAATTGATCGAATGGACCATCACCTATTGCTACAAAAACGATTGAAAGACTAACTTTAGAGGCTTCGACAATAGCATTATTTGTACGTGTGAGATCCGTTATAATGCCTGGAGTGATTATGAAGAGTATGTGGTGTTGATTTGTAGCCTTGACGATTCCAATAGCCTTGATGATGATTGGGGAATAACTTAATGGATTTGATAAGACTATACTTTGTGTGACTTGTGAATAAAGCTGCAAGCAATGTGCAATGCCATTAGTCGGTTGCTCGGATGGGAGAAATGAAAACGTTGTCTTGTCACGTGTAGAAGAGTCGCCAAAGCCATAAAATGGGATGTTCCTATTTACGTCCAAATCTTCTATTGATGTTCCAATGGCATCAATAACACGTTGGTATGGATTAGAGACTGGAATAGTAGGGTCGATTTTGTGGAGGTTTTGGCAGTTAAATGTTCGACCACCTTGAGCGACATTCGAGTCACTGTAATCCACACTTAATATAATTTTACTGTTCCGCATCTTAGCAGTATACAACTGCATCTTCAGTTTATTTAACTCGTCTTGTGGTGCTAGTTGTTCGTGGGACTTTTTCGAGTGTTTTGCTCCCATTGTAAAACAACAATATTATATGAACACTACAGAGTTATAAGTTCTTCTTTGTCCCACCATTTCAATTGTTATAATTATACTCATTTATTATTAAAAATACTATATAAATTAGTTTATTTAATAGTTTTTCTTAGTTTAAGAAGAAATAGTAATTATTATGAAAGGAATAAAACAATTTTGGATTGTTCTTAATTATAATTCGAACAATTCAAAAACATCATATATTTTTTATTGAAAAATAAAAATGTAGAACATTGAAAATATTTAATAATTGTAGAATGGAATATACAATAAAAAAAACCAAATTTATTGTTTTATTGTTGTTAGTTGTAACACTAGTTGTGGTTTTGTGTGTTGGTACATCTTATACGTTCCCAGTTAAGTGCATGGAAAAGTATACAAACCCATCAACTAAACAGGACATCACGTTATTGGCTCTTGCAGATGAAGGTCGTGTAGACCTTAAAAGTATTATTATTCCCATTTCTTACCTTCGACAATACACCACTTGTGTTATCCACCTTTTTGTCGAGAAAACCCTATTTACTCAACATGTTTCTTTTTTCAACGAAATGCAACAGACGTTTGGTCTTGAAATAGAAACATTCACAAAAGGAAATGTGTACATTGCAAATTATCGCATTAAACTCTACAGAGACTTTTTGATCAAAAACAACTTCAAGTACAATCGTGTTCTTCACTGTGATGTTTCTGATGTTTATTTTCAGATTGATCCCTTTCAATATATTGGAACATTAGGGAAGTTGGTTGTATTCAAGGAAGGGTGTGACGGCACCAAATTACTAGAAGATAGTAAGAACACTGAGTGGTATAGACAATGTTATCCTAGTATGGCACCCCTTACAAAAGACTCTGTAATAATCAATGCTGGTGTAGTAATGGGTAGTTCCACGTATATGTTAAAGTACTTTACGTTGATATGGGCTTTAATGGAAAACAATAATAAGTGTGACATTGCAGTCTTTGGGCCTGATCAAGCTGTTGTCGAGTATGCCTTCCACTCGGGACTTTTGAATGAACTAATCGATCGACTCGAATGTGGATGTGTCTATTGTGATAAAGTGAAAATGAAGAACAATATGTTATTTGATTCAAATGGGTGTTTGATGCCATTTATCCATGGTAGACCACCATATTACCCACAAAGTATTATCACTCAAAACCTTGAGAATTATAAAGAAATCACTCGTTTGGTGTAATTAGGGTTCTTAACATAAAAATTCATTCTAATTAGAGGAGGTGTTACCTTCTTCATGCTTAATAACATCAGATGCAATTACGGCATCTATTGGGGACTTGGACTCTTGTAATGTGCTTTGTCTGAGTACATCAGATGTTATGACAATGTCAGTGGGAGTTTTTGCTTGTGGTACTTCTTTGATTGGTTCGCCTCCATGTTCAACGTCGATGTTATTCATATCGAAACGCTTGGCTTGTCGTTTCTCGTTATATCCGAAGAAGATGTGATACACCTATTCATCAATGTTCTGCTCATTACAACGCGACAAACACAATGAAAAGATAACAAACGACTTCACTTGCAATCAAACACAGTAAGAGTGTCACTACACAGAAGTAGACGGGTGCAAACACATTAAATCCATCAGACAGAAGTCCGGCAATTAAAGGCAAAAACGCATTAGAAAGCGCAGCAACACTCTCACTAATCCCGACAAACAACCCTTTGGACTTTTCACTTGCTCGTAAGGAGTAATATGTAGACGTCTGATACCCAAATCCAGCGGCAAGTCCAGCGAAGAACGCGATAGCAAAAATGACGTATGGATTAAATACGACAACAAGAAGAATTAAGAAGAGTAAGAACATCGCCTGTGCAGCAAGAATAAGTGACCTGTGATACGTCCACGCAACCGTCAGACTCATCACGATGAACGCGATGGTTTGTGCCGAGTAGAGTACGAAAAATGTGAAGGCGACGAAATTGTCTTGTGGATTTCCAAAAGGAATTCCGATGTTTTTATAGTCTGCGATTTTGATGTATTGGTTTGTAATGACACAGGACGTCCCGAAGACACCGAGTTGCATAATATACCCCACATAGATATATGTCTTGTTTTTGAGTTGTTCTTCATTCCATTTTAACTTGGGTTTCTTAGTTTCGATGATATTTAAGTTTGTGTCCGTCTTCTCTTTGTCTTCACTTTTCTCATCTTTCTCTTTCAACTCAATCTCAACATCTCCAATCTCATTCTTGTCACCACTCACTTTCTCTTTCTTGTCTAACTTCTCCTTCTTTTGACTCTCTTTCTGCTCTTCAATCTCATCTCTCAACCATTTGACGTGTCTATATGGATATACTATAGCTATTAATACATTCAATCCTATTGCAATATACAACGAATTGCTTGACCCCAGTGCTGATTTTAATGTCCCACCTGCTGCATATCCAATTGCTTTCCCAAAGGACCTGGTTGTTATGTCGCTTTATTAACTAAAAAAATAAATGATTAATAATTAATAATAAATAATTAATAATAAATAATAAATAAAAACAAACCAACAGACTGCAAATAACCCCGAATTGCGTACTTCTTTGCCTTCGCCAGCTTCCTTTCCAACGTTACCTACCGCAGAGGGCCAAAAAGTTAAAGCAGAAAACGCCCAAAAAGCACAGGAGAAATAAATTGCGACAATGGAATCTTGCCATATAGCTACTAAGACTTCAGCTATTGTCAGCATTACCATCGAGATTCTAATCATAATGAAAGGACTCACGTAATCTGCTATCTTCCCACCAAAAGGTGCTAACCCACCATATATAACAAAACAGACTGTTTGGAGAAGGGCTAGCATTAGGGCTGAAGCGCCTTGTTCATTAAATAGTAAAGGGACCACAATCCAATAAAAGTAGCACGATGTGTTGTAGAGAAAAGCAACGAGGAGCTGACGAAATAAATTGTCAAAGGGAAACATTAAATAAGATAGCCACTTATTCATAGCTTTTTGGGGTGTTTGGAGTTTCTTTTTAATTTTTTTGGACAAGGAAGAATTTCGAGGAGAGTGGTTTCAGTGTCGAAGCAAAGAAGCTCATGTTTCATTTGCAAACTTTTTGAATGTGCAAATAATCGGGGTTTTCAGCTAATAAACTTCTTTTTGTTGAAACTTTTTACTCTCAAAATGTACTATAAAAAATATTATTACTATTAAAAGCGTGCTAAAAAAGAATTCTTTCATTTGGTAATAAATAATGACTAAAATGGTTGTTTATTATTATATATATGGTTTATAATTTTATTATTAAATAATTATTATGATGCTATAACAATATTCTTCTATTCCAATTATTTTAAATATAAAATATTTATTATAAACATAAACATCATAAATAGTTTATTAACCATTTTATATAACAAACAGTTAATTAATAACTAAATATATTTATAATTAAATATATTATATATTATATTATATTATAATTAATACAAATTTAATATAATACTAATAATATTAAGTTAGTGTAATACAGTCGATACTCTATCGGATTGGACTTCTATCGGATTTGGTTTTTTATCCAATCAAAACTTGTTCCAATCCGATTTTATAAATAAAACCCGTATAATTAGTATAAAATTTTCTTTTTATTTTCCAATCCTTGGGAAAAACCATTTTCCCATTATTCCAATCCGATAGAGTATCGACTGTATATTGTTTATTAAAAAAATCTTAAAATGTAAAAAAAATAGAAAACCTCAAACTATTATTTAATTTAATATAAATTAAACATTTAACTTAATATTTAAGTTAACTTCTAATAAAGCGAATTGTCCTCTATATCAGCGGGAGTATTACCACCATTAAAAAGAATAACACTGAAACATTCCAAAAACTTTGAACAAAAAACAGAAATTAAGTCGTAAAATTCCCAGAGAATTGACCGACTTATCCTTTCAATCAAACAACTCAATAACTTATACCTGAGATCTTTGAACTAAGAACTTGAAATAAAACTGTAATGAGCCAGCCACCAGTCCCAGCAAAACGTGCTGCAAAAAAAGAAAAAGACCCGAAGGCGACCTTCACCAAGCCATCAAGACTTATTGCTGCTGCTAAAGCCGGCGAAGATGAGTTGATTAAAGAGTATATGGATGACAAGACAAAGTCAATTGACATCAATAAAGTCGATTCTTTGGGACAGTCATCAATGCACTGGGCAGCCCATTCCGGATATCCAAACACCATCCAAACACTTTATAACTATGGTGGAAACGTCAACGTCCAAGACAAAGAAGGTGAAACACCACTCCACAAAGCTGCTTGGAAGGATAAACTCCAAACCATCTCAAAACTCATTTCACTTGGGGCAGATGTCACTATCAAGAACAACAAGGGACAAACTCCTTTCGATGTGGCAAAGAGTATGGAAGCTAAAAAGCTGTTGTACATCCCATCTGACAACCTTGAAGAGGATTTGGAAGATTCTAGAGACGAGGATGATGACTAAGATACTTTTTCATTCTGTTCAACTCGTTTTTTGTTGTACTTTTGTGACTTTCTTTGTTTAACACCTCCTTATTTGTCTTTATTAAATTTATTAGAAAAAAATAATATATTGTTATTAATTATTAGTAAAAAAAGCCCGTCTATACTTCTTATATAACAGTTTATTTAATTCTAATTATAATTAAATAAAATTAATACTATTAGTAATAATTAGTAATTATTATCTATTAATAAATATATTAGTATAAACTATTAAAAAACAATAACCATCAGAAACAGAAAAACTTGAGACATTCATTTTTGGAGTTCCAATTTAGTTTGCTTTATCATCATTTTTGTTGTACCATACATTTTAGTTTGTTATACTTAAAATTTACCATTAAAAATGATATTATTTTATTGGAATTATTTTATAATTATATAATGGTTTATTAATGGTATAAATACTTGTCTGTGATTTATATCGAATAAATAACTTATTACGACACGAAGATCTTTTTTGCAGTTTTACAACATAAAATTCGACTGCTTTTTTCTCAAGCTGACCAAAAGATGGTAACAGTTTAGCAGTTCTCTACGATTTATTAATAAAGAATTACCTCAAAAACACAAAGAAAAACTTCAAAAAGCAGAAAGAAATACGATGAACACATACAAGCGTCTTGTCTCCCGTGTAGACCCAACAGTTTTCTTCCAAAAGGGGTTTATAGAGTGTCGACGAGTATACGTGAAGGTTACTGTCTTCTCTGGTGTAGCTCACAAACAGAAGTTACAGATTGCTGTCCCACTCAAGAGTCTAACTCCTGAGACAAAAGAGGAAGTCAAGAAGGTAGCACTGTCGTTGAAACAAATAACAAGTGAAATGAGTAACATGTTTGTAGTAACCAATGTAATAGTCCAAAACAGTGACCAAACACTCTACATCTTCTGTGATGTTCCTATTAAGCAAAGTATAGGCAACTACTACTCGACCAATAAAGTCTTTACAGATGAGAAGATGTCTCATGTTGTCGACTTATTGAATATGTACACGGCTCTCTCGCAACTTCAAAAAGATGAAACTTTTGAAACGATGAAATTTCTGTTAAGTGAAGAGGACTTGTCATTAGCGCTGATGAAAAACGTTGGTTCGCCGTTCACACAAATTTCAGTGACGCCACTTGCGTTCATCGTTCCACTTGTTTTCGGAAACTTGACGTTTGATCCTTATAATGTGGTGATCGCCAATTTACTTGAGAAGATCTCCGAGAAAGGGAAGATGGAAAATTTGATCACAAAGATCCGCAACAACGAGAGTGTGAAGGAGATCCTCGGCGACAACGATTTTGTGACGCAATGTTTGACTCTTACAAACGTCCCTCCATTTTCATTTGATGCCTTTGAACAAGACAAGTCGTTATTAGGGCAAGGTGTCTTTGGTATAGTAATGAAAGCACAACGCAAGTCGGACAAGAAGGTGTTTGCAATTAAAGAGAGTAAGAAGGAGAAGACTTTACAACTTAAAAAGGAAGCGCAGATCATGCGACTCTGTCACCATCCAAACATCATCGAGTGCTTTGGCTTCACTGAATTAAACGTTTCTATTGGAGGCGCGACTAACCCTCTCTTTAACTGTGATTTCCCACATGGGTACATTTGCCTTGAATACTGTCAAAACGGGAATTTGGAGTCTTTTGTGAAGTGTCTGTGTCCTGAAGGCGACCGTCTTCCATTAGAAACAGTCCAAACGATCTTTGGCCAAATAGCATCTGCTTGTCGCTATCTTTATTTTGAGAAAGGTATCATCCACAGAGACATTAAATTAGACAACTTTTTGGTGTCGCAGACAGACCCCTTTCTTTTTGTGAAGATGATCGACTTTGGGTGGTCCAGAAGTATTGCAGAAGAGATGGAGTCTGTAGCTGGCGCTCCTATGTTCTGTGCGCCAGAAATTATATTTCGACAACCATACAGTGCAAAGAGTGACTTGTATAGTCTTGGCGTTGTACTCTATTTCTTACTGAATGGAAACTACCCATTCAATCCAAATAACGTCGAAGAACTTAGAACGCAATATAGCTCTTCCGAGAAGTTGTCGTACTCGGACAAGATCACAAAAGACATTGAAAATAAAGACGTCATCGACCTCATCAATAAAATGATCGTCTTTAAAGAAGACGACAGAATATCGTGGGAAGAGTTCGACAAACATCCCTTCATGGTCAACACTACAAAGCGCCTGACCGAACTCTACACCAAAATTGGGCTTGATTTCATATGAGTTGTTTAAATAGTTTAATTTACTATTCGAAAGAATCAAATTCTGTTGATTTGTGGTTTTATAGTTTAAGTATCTATTAATTTGAGTAAGAAAAGAAACTCGTAAATCTCATACAATGCCACACGAGGTGACTGCAATATCGTCACAAATTGTCCAAAAAAACATAGACGCGATACAAGACAGTAAAGTGATAACAGCATGTGCATGTGGAATTGTGAGTGGTGCATTAGGGTTAGTCCACATTCACGGGTTCATTTTAATGGCAGTGATGTATTTGATAATATCGGGCTTATTGTTTATTCGTGTTCTTCCTAACACAAAAGAGTGGTTCGAGGGTTCCTATGTTGTCCTTACTGAGGCTTTTTTCCCTTTTATTATGGTTTGGTTGTTGAAATGTTGGGGTATAATAATAGAGTGGTTATAAGCAATTCAAACACTAACAAATAGTCATTCATCTTCATGTGGACTGTTGCGTACTCTTTGGTTTACATTTATTAATTCACTTCTTTGGTATTTTAATGTGGCAAAGAGGCATTATTTGGCTAAGAAATATCTTAGGCAATTTCGAGTCTCACTTCCAGTTTTTTTTTCTTTAATAAAAATACACACAAAATTGGACAAGATTGTAATCGAAGACCTCAATCTGAAAAATCCAAAATGAGTTTTGAAGGGAAGGTAGCACTGGTGACGGGTGGGACAAGTGGGATTGGTGAGGAGTGTGTTCGACAGCTCATCAACGAGAAGTGTCGAGTGATTTTTATCGGACGTCGCAAAGAATTAGGTGAGCATATAGTTGCCGATATCACCGCCAAAGCTTCTGGTCAGATAGAATACATCGAATTCGACTTACTTGAGTTTAAAAAATACGACGAGTTGGTCAAACAAATAACAGAGAAGTATCATCGCCTTGACTTGTTAGTAAATAACGCTGGTAAAGTGATATATCAGACATGCGAATCATTAACAGAAGAGCAGTTTGATGAGATCTATCAAACGAATGTGAAGACCGTTTGGCTGATGACTAAGAAGTTTCATTCATTATTAGAACTCAGCAAAGGCTGTGTTGTTAACATTGGGAGTGACGTTTCTATTAAAGCAAATAAGGAGTACTTTGGATATAGCGATTCCAAAGCATCAGTAGTCCACATCACTAAGATGATGGCACTTGAATACGCACCAGCAGTTAGGGTTAATGCAGTGTGTCCAGGAGACACTTTCGTGCTTAGATGGACTAGCGACGAACAATTGGCGATGAGATTTGGGCCGGAACATATTCACAACCCTATTATTAGACCACAACTCGTTCAACAACTGCATGAGTCGATTGAAATCCCTTTGAAAAGGGTCGGAGAAGTCGAAGAAATAGCAAACGCTGTCTTATTCCTTGGAAGTTCAAAGGCGTCTTTTATCACAGGAGTTGCACTTTTGGTCGATGGAGGAGCGTCGCTTGTTTGAGTTTTGCGTAAATCAGAGCAATTTGATAATAGTTAATCTTTTTGGTTTTTTTTAATTCCAACATAGTTTAAGTTATTTTAGAAAGAACAAAAGTTTTTTAATTAAACAATGGTTAGATTAAAGTTTTAAGTAAACTATTAATTTTAGTTGAAATAATAATTAATAATTAATTCAATGGTTTTTTGGTCTAACTACGAAAAAATGTAACAAATTTACTTGTATTTGTATTTATAATTACAATTATTAAAATTTATATTATATAAATTAATTTGTAATATTTTAAAGATATTTGCAATAAAATTAAAATTAGTAAACATAACCCGAAAATCTTTAAGTTTTTTCTTATTGAATTTTATTATTAAAATAAGAATAGTTATATATTATTTATTAACAACTTTTTGAAATAATTTCTTTAAAAAGAAAAACTTTATACATTTTCTTAAATTTACTTGCTACCATTTTTTTATTGTATATTTATTATAATTTTATTGTAATTTTTACTTATTGTATTTTGAATAATCAATTTTGGGAAAAATAATCAATTGACAATCTCTCTGCTTTTTGGCGAAAAGAAAGAGTCAAAATCAATCCATAATCGCGCCATAAACTAGCTGATCATATGCTTGAAGTGTTTTGATTTACAAACAGATTCTAAAAAACAAATAAAATTTACCATACACAATAGTAAAATCAACGATGTTCCAACAAACAAATCTTTGGTATAAATAGATTCTCACTTGTCCAATCTTTGAATTGAAATGAGTGTAACAGCAGACGAGCGCAATCCACACATCAACGCCTTTATCAAATTTGTCCCCCGACTTGCTCCGTTATTTGGTGGGTTAGAGATATCTCCCATAGTAGTTGACTCGGAGTTTTTCGAGTATTATTTGATCAACTCGCAGTTATACCGATACTTCTATAGTACGCGGGTGTCCACTGACGACAAGTACAAAGTGTTTAAAGACTTAGTATTGATTCATTACACCTTGATGGAGCACAAGTATTTGACTAAAGAAGAGGCTTTTGTCCTTAAAGTTGTGAATGGCGCGAAGTTACCGGTGTTTGAAGAGCACTTCGAAGCAATACGAAACGATCAAAAAGCGTCGGAAGAATACATCAAACGTGTCTTCCACTTCTTTGTGAACACTTTAAAACGAATGCAACAAGAAAACAACTCTTCGATCGACGACTTGTTGGGATGCACCGACTGTAACGGCAAGAAGGAGCGCGACTATTGGATCAATTTCATCATCAAAACCCTCACTACCGTTAACCAACAAACACTCTCCAAAATCATCAAATATTTGAATCCAAAGATGTGGGAGGACGACGCCGAAATCGACTTGAAGAAATTGACCCTCGACCAACTCCGCGGGGTCGCTGATATCATTCGATTCGATTAATGTAAATAAATGTTTTTCAAATGTTTTTCAAAAAAGGAAATAACATTTTGAATACCAAAAAATCAGTCAATCGTTGTTTGTTGGAGAATTTCCCGGCCTTGACTCGTCAAAGCTAATGACGCCTTACGCTTCGCTAACTCAAATAAATCAACTTGGATCTCGTGTTCAAGGCGGTTGATTTGAAGACGAGAGATCTCTTGGGCTTCTTCTAAGGAAGACTCCAAATAAAAACCTAAGCCAATACCAACTAGTAACATCTCACGTTTCTTTATATCTGCTTTGACGTGAATACCATTCCCAATATTCACAAGTAGCTGTTTGTCTGCAGAACGTATCGAGTTAATATGAACTTGAAGTGCCTTGTAACTTTGTTGTTTCATTCGTGTCGTGTCAATTCGCTCGTCTATTTTGGACATATCAACTTCAATGGTTTTCGTGAACTCATCCGCTTGTAATATTGCGGCTTCTTTTTCAGTCTCGAGGTGGTCTTTCTCGCTCATTTTTCTGTTTTTTACAGTTTCTTCTTTTATAGTAATGTTTTTAATAAAAGAATTATAATTCAGTTATTTGATTATGGTTATCACATTTTTTGTATTATAATTTTTGGTTAAATGTATTATTATATATATTAGGATTACATATAAGTTGGTATAATATATTTAACTAGTAATTAATGGTTATGAATTATATAAAAAATATAATTAATATATTAGTATATATATTAATTACTTCAACAACTATAATTTTATATTATGTTTTATTCTATAATAATTATAGTTAAAAACTTCTATTTAATTAGCAATTGTAATTATAGTTTAACTTTTTAAGTGCCGATATATACAATAGTAAAATACAAACTTTTGTCAATAATATTATTTTTAAAATTTTTCGTATGTTTGTAGTTGAACAGATAGTCAATCATCCACAAATCGGGTAAATTCACAAAAAATGTTTATTTTACATATTTTAATGTAAAAGATCAATATCATTTAAAAGAAGCAAAACATTAAATAATTATTTTGTATCAGAGATATGTAAATAGATGTCATTGCAGAACATAAAGTTTCAAAGCATATTTTATCGAAAAGAAACACCTATTTCTAGAATACAATAAAAAGAAACAAACCATCAAAATCCATTCAAACAAATATAAAGTGATTTGAAAACATTTGTCAAAACACATAACGAATCTTTTCTGTGGGGACATGAGTTTAGATGTATTCGACAATAACAAGAAAAAAGAAGACAGTAAATTACTTCGCGGCGCAAGTCCCGAGTTTATTATGGCAAGTTGGGCACGTATGTACGGTATCAGCGAACGTTGGAATGCAGCAGAATATGAGACCAATGCAGCAGCACCCCATCCAAGTGAACAAACAGCACAACAAACACCCCAAAGCAGACATATTATGTGCAACTTTTGTCGTCACTAATTTATTGCAAGTTGGGCAGAACGCCTGTTGTGAAACCTTTGTGAAGACAGTTGGTTGTTGTGAGGCTTGAACAACTTGTGGTTGAACTGGAGTGCCTTGTGGTTGTTGGTAAACAATTGGTTGACTTTGTTGTGTCATAGATTGTTGCATATTAGGATCCATACCCATCGGTTGCATTGGCTGCATTGGTGGTTGTTGCATCTGTTGCATATTAGGATCCATTACCATAGGGGGATTTTGTTGCATTGGTGGCTGTCCCATTTGTTGCATGTTTGGGTCGACACCCATAGGTGGTTGGTTCATTTGAGGTTCTTGCATTGGTGGTTGGGTTTCTTGTCCTTCCATGATGTGAAGTGTGAATAGAAAGTTTGAAACCCTCCTTTTAGAGTATTTTTTTCAATTTTTTTGTCAAATTTGATGGTGTGACTTCTCTTGAATTGCTTCATTTAAATTGTTTTTAGGACAATTTCCCAAAGATGTAGGACTTTGTCATTACTTATTAGAGAGTTAATAGAGGTGTTTTTTTCATAGAGATCTTTTTTGAGGTTCTTTTTTTTGGACAATATACGAACAACTTCATGTTGTTGTATATTTTACTATAATCTCATATACAATTTCAAAGAGGAATTCTTTGAGAATAAATTCTTTTATTCGTACACTTTTGTGGTTGTTTTACTATTGCTTAATTATATTTGAAATAAACTATATTTTATTCTGATCTTCAATTTTTGGTTGCAATTTTTGTTGTTTTCAAAAGGAGCGATTTTTGTTTTTTTGAACACTTATTTCATTATTAAGATTAAAACCCGATTGTGTCTATTTTTTGGCAATTGTTTTCAACAATCTCGTTTTTGTGCCCAAAAACACTTTTTTTGGAACTTTTTGATGGTATCAAAAAAAAGTTTGGTTTTTCATTTTTAATTATTGTTTATTTGTCAAAAAAAAAATTTTTTTATCTTTTTGTATTTTCAAATTTATTATAAATTAAACTACAATTTGTCGTATTAAGATAGTAATATACTATATGTAATAATTATAATTGTAACATATCAAAGATCTTCTTTTATTTCGATTTAAAAAACATTTTCATTAAGCACTCTGTAAACTTTATTTGGTACCTTTTGACTATAATAATGAAATATTTCAGGAAACCATGCTAAAAATCCACTCATTTGTTTCAACTATTTTTAAATTTCACTCAATGCCCGTTTTTTACATAAACTGAAAGCAATTTTAATTTATTACATAACATAACTCATAAAGTTTGATTATTCTTTTTTTATTTATTTTTCAATAGTTTATATAATTATACTAAATAAAATTGTAGTTTTTAAAATTCAATACACATCAAAAAAGTGGGATTAACAAAGAATAAATATCAAATATCCCGGTTTTGAGAACTTGAACTTTGGATGAAACAACGTATTTTTGTTGAAATTTCTCGATATTACAAAATCTTTTTTTGACTCACATCAAACTTTTTATACCTTTCATTTAAAAAGGTTAAATAAATATAATTAATTTTTAAATGTAAATGCCAACTTATATGATAAAGATATCAGTCATTAAAAAAAACCAACCAAAATCCCACAAGCGAATGTTTAACCTAGAAAACCCTATTTTACAATAAAAATATATTTTGGTTGTATGGAAGTTGAACCACAACACACATCTTCAAATCAAAATACACTCCAAAATGTCCCTGCAAATTACGCGGATAACCTATTCCCACCAGCACAAGTATCAACAGCAACTAAAACGAAAAAAGAAGACACAACGGTTGTAGATACTCCAACACAAAACACGACAAGCGAACGTCTCGGTGTTGTTGTAAACTATTCGGAGGGAAATACAATTGTTAAAGGTGGAGACGATATTGTCGACATTAATACTCCACTCTTCAACAAAGAAGGCCAACAAATAGGTGTTGTTGCTGATATTTTTGGTCAAGTCGTTGCCCCTTTGTATGCGGTCAAAGAACCCATTCCCATAGGTACAGAGGTCTACGTCCAAAAGGTGCAGACACACTTCATTGATGTCAACACAATATCACGAAAAGGTACTGACGGTGATGACGATGATCCAGAGTTTTCTGACGATGAAGAAGAAAAGAATTTCCGTGCGAAACAAAAGAAACAAAACAATTGTGCAAAAAAAGACATGAAATGCATTAAGATGGATTTGGAACACACCAACTTGACTCCTCTTTAATAATACTTTGATTGTTCGTTTTTGGTTTTTATCGTCGTTTTTTAACACTGTTTGGTACAACAGTTTTAATGTTATTGTTAATAAGCAATACACATGCATTTCAATAAAATAATAAAACAACTTGTGTTGTTCGTTTTTGAATAACAATAACAAATAAAGATGTATTTTGGTATTACTGACTTGTCAAGATTTTAACGTTTGATAATTAAATTGATTTCAAAATAACTTAAAAAATAATTAAAAGATTATCAAAAACTACACCATTTGGGTTTTATTTTTATATAAAAAACTTTACAGGGATAATACAATATAATACAATTATCTTAAATGCTTGTGAATGTCAAAAAGATATAATGCCCTCTATTTATTAATAAAAGATGCTCTAGTAAAACTGGTTGATATATCATCTCCTTATTAAATTTCTACATTGCATTACATTATTATTATTCTATCACCATGATGAAACCATACGAAAAAAGATGATAATATTGGAAAAAGAATTTAAAAATAGGTATTGTAATTATTGTTATTGACAAAAAAACAACAAAGTACTATACTAGAATGTTTAAAATGATAAAGACAAGTTACAAGTACAAGGAGAGATCAACAATTTATGTTCTAAGATAATACAATACTAATATAAACATATACGATAAATTGGAAAAATAGTTTTTTGAATACTCTGATTTTACATGTGTGAAATAAGTAAACAACAAAAGAGTTAATACCCACTAATGAATATTATAACATGTTTTATTTTTATAAAAAGGATTAAATTGCTATATTTGAAAATCGAAAAGAAAAATAAAAATAAAGTTCGAATTATACTCAAAAATAAATAACACAACAACATGTTTTTTCTGTTTATTGTAGTTGTTTATACAACTGCATTGGAATGCATACCATACTCAACAGTATGTGAGGGTGGATACACATACAACGCAGTCAAAGTCAACGCATCTTCGTGTAGTACAATCCGGGTATTCGACTCTTTCAATTTGTCCTGCGATTGTGTGTTACAACTTTTATCACCCACAAAATTTGTTGTGTCGCGTGGCGCTTACGTTATACTCGACTTTGAAAAAAACCTAACAAATTACATCGAAGAATTCATTTTAGAGGATTACTCGTCCGTAACTTTTCAGTCAAAAATCGATATATTCCAGTTCAAAAAGTTCAAATTTGGATTACACACACAAGTGACATATTATGAGTATATAGTGTATATGAACAATACTATAGTAATGCCACCCCAACTCTCTTCGTCGTACACGAAAGGTGTCACTTTCATCAACTCAAATGTGACTAACAAATCACCAAAATTTGCTGTTACAGGAACATTGAGTTTTTATAATTCGACATTTTCAAATACCGTATTACTCGATCTATCTGCTACTGTTATTCTATTTAACGACTCGGTGTATGACTTTCGAAATGAGCTTAAGACATATTACGACCAGCCAAAGATCTCCTCGAATCATATGATTTTTACTGGGAAGTCGTATGGAAAGATAACCAATTTTGTGTTGTATAATGTGAATAACATCACAGTTGGTGGAAGATCGGAAATCATATACAACAAAGAAGACTTTATAGAGGATTTAATGTTTAATTTAACTCTAACAGATGACTCCATTTTTCACATCTTTGGGGAGTACCAAGTCGGTTCTTCGTTTATTGAAATTATAAGTAAATCGATATTATACGTCGAGAAAGAGTCATCACTGTCAAGAGGTACTTCTTCAACAACAAACTTTGGCTTTGTAATTCAAGAGAACTCAATTGTTCATGTTTTTGGCTCTATACAGCTCTTCTCTTATATTCTTGGTAAAGACAATGCATCGATTTATATGGATGGGTCGGTCTCAACTGGGATATTTCCATTGCCAATTAATATCACATTATGTGGAGATGCATATTTGGAGGTTGGTGGAAATGTCCAATTAATTACCGACAACTTGAGTGTGTATGACAACGCAAGAGTTGTGTTCAAAGACTATATGAATGTAAAAGTGACTTTGTTTTCATTATTGGAATTGTATGATGGAATGCGCTTGTTTCTATATGACAACTCTTCACTCTACTTTGATGTGTATGACAAGATACACGCATCAGATGGTATTTATATGACGTACATGTATGACAACTCGAAAATAGTGTTTCATGGCAAGAATCACGGATTTTTGTTTCAAGTGGAATTGAATAACAACTCTCAAATAATAACAAACGACTCCGTGGACGTGACATTGGCCCATGTCAATTTAAAGGACAATTCAACAATTACAGTCTCAGACAATTCCAAAGTGATTTTAGCAAATTTAAAGTCTTCATATACATCGAAAATAGTGTTTAAAAGTAATGGGAAAATGTCGTTAAGATGTTCCACTGGGGAGTACAACGACGTCTGCTTATTTGAAGAGAGTGTAATCAATTTGAATGGCTTTCCTTTCGACTTTACAAACGTTTCGCTTAATAGTGCACCACTTGATGTGTTTGATACAAAATTACTTTTTAATGACTCAACATTGGAAAACACAATATTACCAACAGAGAGATGCATAAGTCTATTCTCATTTGGAAATGATGCGACTGTACCAACTTTCACTAATCCACAATTCTTCAAGTTATTTGATGGGAAGTTGGTAAGGTTTTGCCCAGACACAATGAACAGTAATATGGAAAAAACTTATTGCACTATGACAAATGAAAATTGGGACGAATCACATTTGTTTGAGAGAAATTACCCATTTGATCAAGCTCATTGTCCTTATCCCAATGTTGAAATAATAACTTCATTAAGTCGTGTTGTAATTGGAAACTATCAAATATCGGCAACATTTCTTAATGAAACGAATTTGGTATTCAGTGAAGTTGCGAATGCGCCACAGAAAGTCACTGGGAAGCTGAAAGAAGTTACTTTTCCATCTGGAGTGACAATTAAAAATTTGTGTTCTGTCATTGAACGAGTTGTTGTTGAATTACTACAAAATGGGACGTATAGTTACACGTCTGTTTGTAAAGAGTTTTCGAGTACAAGTCTGACACATTTTAAAATATCAAAAGAGAGTGAGATGAAAGGGACATTGGAGCAAGGGTATCTTACTATAGACAACAACACTTTTATTATATCAACTAATTTTGGAGTTCTACTTTACATTTCAAACAAATTGGCACCTTCATATATAACAACAAACCTCACTTTTGATATTCTTGTTATTGGAAAGATTGGATTCTTTTCATCTGGTGAGTTGTGTAAATATGGTCGTGTCACGTCTACAATTTCTGAGTGTTTTAAATATGACAAGATGCGATGTGATGAAGGGTACTTTAAGAACGGAAATAGTTGTATTGACTGTGTTGATACCAATTGTATAAAATGCACAAACAAAGAGTGTGTTTTATGTGCAAATAACTTCGTTCTTAATAATGGTGTTTGTGATCCAAAACCATCGAGTTGTCAGTATGCATTGAATAACATATGTTTTAAATGTCAAGATGGGTATTCGATGGTGGGCACAAAATGCTTAACAACATCACCACTTCCCAATTGCACTGAAAGTCGAAACAATATATGTATACAGTGTACATCAACTTTGATGGTAATAAAGGATGGAATTTGTGTGCAATATGAAGGAGCTGTATTGACGACTTTAATATCAGTTATAAAATGTGAACCGGGCTATTACACGATGAATGGGATATGTTACAAATGTATTCAAACGCACCCACACTGTTTAACATGTGACTCATTAAAATGTTTTATCTGCGAAAATGGTTATGATCTAAAGAGTGATGGAATGTGCTATGATCAAAATTGCGAGACATACAATTATGTAGATGTCTGTATCACGTGTAAAGAGGGGTATTTACTTGATGAATCTAAAAAGTGTATGACTCGTATTGATAATTGTTCGCTACAGTCATTGTATACGTGTTACCTTTGTGAAGAAGGTCATTACCTTTTAAATGGAATTTGTGTTTCCATTATCGCAAACTGTTTAAGCAACTCCAACACTGGATGTATAAGATGTAACCCGGGCTACTTTCTTAATTCAATGAAGTTGTGCGAAAAATGCCAAATAAATTGTTTGACGTGTGGCACTTCACCTTCAAATTGTCTTTCATGCCACGAAAACACCTTTTTGTTTGAAAACAAGTGTATTACGTCTTCCAAGTATGGCAATTTATGTGACAGATATACCTCAAATGGGTATTGTGTCCATTGTATATCGGGATACTTCTTAGAAAGTGATTCATGTCAAATGTGTTTATCGTCGTGTGGGATATGTAGTAACAAGTATTACTGTATAACATGTAAAGAGGGGTACTTTTTGTCAATTTATGGAGAGTGTTTAAATAATTCACAAGTTGGTGACTGTGCAGTCAATGTATCGACTTCATATGGGTGTATAAAATGTAATCCGGGTAATTATTTACATGATAAGCAGTGTTTCAATTGTCCTTTTGGATGTGATTCATGTGATGCAATGCAATGTTTCTCTTGTTATGACGAATATGTGTTTATAAACAAACGGTGTATTGCACGTGTATTTATATCAAAATGTCTTTCAGCAAATAACGGTACATGCGTTTCATGTTCATTCTGGTACGTTCCAAGTACTGATGGGACTTTTTGTAAAAATGCGCCAGTGTGGTGGGTGATCTTTCTTGTAGTTGTTTGGTGTTTTATAGTTATGGTTGTGGCCATACTAATACTTATCTTCATCCTTTACAAAATTATATCAAAATATATCCGAAACAAAAAGTTGGATATGTTAGTCACAAAGATGTCCAATGGTAATATCCTTACACATGAATTAATACAAGGCGTATATTCCAATGTGAGTAAAATAATTGCTGACAACGAAAATAGTCTCCTTCCTGTATTTGTAAAGACTACCACAACATTTGTTGTAGGCAATAAAGAGAAACATACAGTACGACTTCAAGTTAAAGGACAGAACAACAAATATCGATATCTTATAAGTGTAACACCACCCGTAGTATTATTAAAGAAGAACGAGGCGTGCACTTTTACAGTAACTATAGAGCCTTATTGTACTTGTCGAATTGATGACATTGTTTCAATTTTTATAAATGATAAAAATAAACAAAGAGGTGAACGTGTGACACTTCCTATAATAGCAGAGTCTATGATGTCGTCATATTTAGATCAAACAGAAATAGTTATAAAACGTATGATAGGTGAAGGAAGCTTTGGTAAAGTGTATTTAGGACTCTTTAGAGGCACACAAGTTGCTCTTAAAATATTGAAACAGATCAACTTAGATCAAGAGACGTTAAACGAATTCAAAAAAGAGGTGGAGATGCTCAACAAATTTCGATGCGACCAAATCATTCATTTCTTTGGAAGTGTACGCATGCCAAAGATCATAGGAATGGTGATTGAATATGCACCTTATGGTTCTCTCAGAAACAATTTCAATACAAAGAAGGAACAAGTCGATGAAAAAATTCGAATTAAAATACTTCTTGACACATCCACAGCACTCAGTTACTTACATTCCAATGGGGTGCTTCATCGAGACATCAAACCTGACAATGTACTTCTTTTCGATAAAACAAATATTGTCTCTACCAATGCAAAGCTTTCTGATTTTGGTTCATCGAGAAATATTAATTTGTTCATTTCAAATATGTCATTTACAAAAGGAGTTGGTACACCCGTTTGTTATTAGTTATTATAGTATTATTATTTAATAATTTTAATATATAGTTATGATTTTTATTTATTATTCTAGTAATAATAATTATTATTATAATTATAATAGTTATGAATATTAATATGAATAGGTCTACATGGCACCAGAAATATACAACAAAAACAGATATAGTAAAGCTGCAGATATATTCGCGTTGGGAATTACAATGCTCGAATGCATGAAATGGGGTGACGCTTATGTCGGGGAGATGTTCACATTCGCGTGGCAAGTGCCTGATTTTATAAACAAAGGAAATCGACTTCCAAAGCCGGATAATGTCACGGATGAAATGTTTCATGTTATTCAGGCGTGTTGGGATGATATACCCCAAAACAGGTTAACTGCAGAAGAGGTGTGTAACACATTAGCACTTATTGAACAGAGACTTAACTAATTGTAATCATAAAAACGTTAGTATGTTAAAATTGGTTGTTAAGAAATGAATTTGAGGAATGATTCACCCGTTATATTATGACGGCAAATTTCATGTTTTAAAATAAAGTATACTTTTATTACATAATAATTTATAAAACAAATGGTTTTTAAAATAGTTTAGTACTAGTATAGAGAGATTACTATTTAAATATAAATCTGTGTTTAAAGAAGTTGATGCCCCGAGTTGGGAACAACAAAAACACGACTAAAAAGAAGAGGTATCAGCCTCCCTTAGTCGGGACGCAAAGAAAACACCCACAATTTGCACGAAAACGAAATGCTAAAGAGAAACCAGCGAATGAGAACACTGAAAATGAAGATAAAATCAAGATGGAGGAGGAGATTGAAAACGACGAAATGAAAGTCGAAGAGAACGAAGAAGAGCCGCAAGAGAGGGTTGAAGAAAACCCTAAAATCAACGAAGAGAAAAAACCGCGAAAAATTCGAAGCAAAAAAATCTTGTCAGTTTGTCACTCTCTCATTTTTGATTGTGGTTTGCGAATGGCTCAAACTTGGACACTTACAACTAGCTTGAAGAACAACTTGCTTTGGTCGAATCAGTTGTCAGCTCGGGAGCAGAAAAGAGTGGTGCCGTGATGCAAAAAACAGTGGAAAAGGTACAGAAACAGGACTTGAAGGTGGCTCGAAGAACAATGAATAAACAAAGAAAAACACAACTCAAAGAGAAAGAGATGGAAAAGCTCAAGAATAAGCTGCTTGAAGAGAAAGAAAAGAAAAAGAAATTATCTGATTGATTATTTTTTACTATATGATTTAATTTTAATTATTATAATTATTGGGTGATTAATAATGACAGAAAGAATGGAAATTTGAGGGGCAAAAAGAGTGAAAATACTTTAGACAATTGATATGCAATGTGTTTGGCTATTTAAAGTTTACACAAACATCTTTGTGTTGAAACTCCGAAAAGAGGTTCGTTGGTGTAAAATTACGAATTTCAATTGTTGAAATGATGTGTTATATCTGTTACATGAACTTGTTAGATACTCTCTTCGAACAACAAAGAAAGGAGGTATAACTCATAAAAAGAAAGAAAATTAAATTGACTTGAAGTAGTCACATGCCTGTTTAAACAAGGCAAGATCAACACCCATTGCAGGTTCTACCTGCCCAATTTGGTCTTTCATCTTATGGTTGGTTGCGTACAAAACTGCCGACATACCGGAGAGAGAATAATTCGTGTGATACAAGTCAACACTTTTTGTGGGTTTGTCTCTGAACCCTCCGTCTTTGCTTTGACTCGCAAGGATGACGTAATCAAGTAACTTCTCGACATCTGGCATAACATCGATCGCTTGGAACTTCTTTGAGTACTTCTTAAGAACACCAAATACCGCCGCTTGCCAGAATGTATAACACACATCAACCAACTTGTTGATTCTCCCGTTGAACCCGCCCTCCACAGGCATTTGGCGCTGAATAAGCCACCTGACCAACTTGTCAATATCAATCTCATCAACTCTGCCAAGCAACGCAAGTGCAGAAACAGCGCAGTATGTATAGCCGCCATGTGCCTCTCCCCCAGGGTTACCCGAAAACCCACCTTCGTACGTTTGACATTTCAACAACCACTCAGCAACTCCTTTCAAAAGATTTTCGTCCAAAATGTTCAAAACAATTGCAGTGGTCATCGCACAATAGCTGCTTCTCGTGTCGGTATCGCTTCCGTCCTTGTTCATCTCAAAAGAACCGTCTGGAAATTTGCACGACATCAAAAAATTGTAAATCGCGCGTCTGTCGATGCACTGGTAAGCCTTTGTCGTTCCAATGGAAATCATTGCGTTGATTCCTGAGTAGCACCCAGCGATGATTGGGCGTGTGAGTTGCGACCCTTTAAAAACTCCGTCAGGCGCAGTGACAAGAGCAAGAGCAGTCTCGAATCTCGGAAGTAAGTCAGTGACGTTTGCTTTGAGTAAACGGAGCGAGTTCAAAGTCCAGTACAAAATCCAAGTTGTTGACGATTCCAAAGTCTCGAAAGACGATGGGAGCGGGTGTGTAGCAGACGCGATCAGCCACTTTGAGTGGAGCTCGTTGTTAAATGAATAGGATAGAAATTTTGATTTAATGATATATCGCGTGTAGTCCTTTTCGCGTTCGACAGAGTTCTCCGTCTTTCTTTGGTCTTGTGAAGTGACGGTGTCAATTTCAATGGGCAATATTTCGTCCGCCATCATCTATTTTCGAGATGATCTTTTTCAAATCCATTTCAAAAAGTTCCAAGTTAGGTTTTTGAAATTTCACTTTCCATTTCCGCTGTGTCAAACTTCCTTAGAATACTACTTTTGTTGTTGTTCCAACATCTCCACGTCGCTGTTTTACGACCAACAACACCATTTTTTAACTTTTTTGGAAAGAACTCGAAAATGAGACAATGAGCGCCAAACCCGAGACCAAAAGGTGGGTTGTGATATATCCCGCTTACATGGACAGCGAACTGAAGACTTCTCAGGGCAGAAAAATATCCAAAGAGGACAGCATCAAATCGCCAAGTATTTTCGATTTAAAAAAAGGGTGTGAGCTTCTCAACCTCCACTTTGCTCTCGAGGTTTGTCTTTCTTGAGTGGTGATGTATTTTCCTTGTGGACAAATACTATATTTAACCATTTAAATACTAGTGTTTTATTAGACGACGATAATTAGAAAGTGCTGAAATAAACTATACAAATAACCTTCAGAGACAGAAGTATCCGAGACAGCAGTGGGTGATGGGGCGGGTCCGTGTTGAGTTGAAAGACGAAAGCAACCAACCAACATCGTCATACAAAAACAAACTTGCTGTAATCAGGGCAATTTCAAAACAGATTAAAGTGTGTCGCGAGGAGGCCGAGAAAGAAGCGGCCAAAGAGGCCGGAAAGAAGAAGAATAAAAAGTAATTTCGATTTTTTAGACTTTTTTGGTTCAAACACTCACACGCTAAACTCAACACCTGTGAGTTAAACTGTCAAGTGGACCAAAACATAAACAAGTCACTCTAAATTACCTTCAAGTTGTTTCAAGTTTTTAGGGTCGATAGTAACAAAGAACTGCTCAGCAAATATAACAGTGAACCTCAACAAGCTGAAATGTGAGACTGCAAGTGATTCAAAAGAAAGGATATATGAGTATTTAATCTTCTCTTCCAACCCAAAGTATGTGAAGACCTCCTTAAGTCCTTTCGTTCTAAACACACTGCATCTCTCGAGAGATACTGCAATGACGTATTCCGTACAACCCTTGCAATGAGTTTCTTTACACATCAAATACCAAAAGACAAACTGAAAATCGAGCGTCTATAACTCCTTCCACAAAGCACTGCGCTAAAACAGAAAAATCACTGATTTGTACGACAAACACGTTATGCTCAATTGTTATTAACATTTTTCCTCTTGAAAATTGACAGCTTTGAACTTTCAAATTGAGTGCTCGTGCAAAGTCTGTCGTTTGAACAACACCTTGCTCGTCAATCGCAATCACTGCATTCCCATTAAATCCAACAGCCACAACAGGGTGTGCCATTTTAAACATCACTTTCGTCGGGCCGTCCAATTCAAAGCAGCAGACACAACCATTTGTGGTGCCAAACGAAAACTTTTTGTCGTCTCCCCGACATGAAACACACGTGACCTCTCCTCTCTTATTTAATTCAACATTATACGCGCATTTTATCACCTCAAAAGTGTCATTTCGGAAGAGAAAAACGTCATGTCCACCAGATAGTATGCTATAGGCTTCCGTTGTGTCCACTGTAATTCGACCAGCTGGTGCAACATTGACTTTGTAATGTCCGTCTGTTTTGAATTGATCGAGTCCATGAAGATTCTTTTTCAATGGACATCTGATGACATCTCCTTCCTTTGAAATGGCAACAACATTATAATCAGTGATGTAGCTCATTGCAGCCACGCTCTTCCCATCAAAAAGTGTTCCTCTTGTTGTGTTGATATCAAAGTAATCTTGTGTCTCATCGTTTGGTGGTTGTGGCATTGATGGAAACTCGCCAAACGAAGCCGATGTTGGGTCTTGAGTTGGTTGGAAGAAGATGCCATTGCGGAAGAAGACTGTGCTTTCTGGAAGTTTTTCAGTGATGTAATAACACTGATCGATTTTTTTTCTTGTACAGTAGGCAAGTCCATTTAATGTGATGGCATAGAATGTACCCTTTAATGGTTTAATATCAATAACGTCCGTCATTTTGTATTTGTATGGCGTTGTTGAGTCCAAAGATATTTCAAGAATGGTTCCATTGATAATCAAATAACACCCAAGAAAAGCCTTCACTATTTTCACGGTTTTAATTATCGTATCGAAGAACCCATTGATATTCGTTTTGATTAAATACGACCGGATATTTGGAGAGTCCGAACAACAAAGTGAAGCCAAAAAGTAGCCATTGTTGTCCAACGTGTACAACACCTGTGAGCAGACATCATAATCGAAAGCAATAATTGGGTTCGGCTCAACATCATATGTAGCAAACAAAGCAAGGTCATCAAAGTTTTTCACATCCAATAACATGACCGCACCGGTATCGGTTGAAACCCCAACAATGGTGTTGGTGATGAATTTCACGTCGGTGAAATGTGGCAAGCCTTTGTTGTATGGATCGTGAAGGGCGGGCAAACAGAAATGTCCTTTATAAACGATTTCATTCTTTACGTTAGAAAAAAAGTAGGCTCCGCTTTCGTCAATGGAGCAGAATAACCCATCACAGTACGATGTGCCACGTGATGCCTCTAGGTTGTATGGCCTTGTGTCGAGGTATGCAGAGACCCTTTCGCGATTGTTTAAGTTAAGAATGTAAAAGAAATGCTTCTCAAAGGACACAGTCATAGTCGCAGAGTCCGAAAATCGCCAGATTTTGAAAATTGTGCTGTTCTCAAGTTCCATCCCTTTTTCTGTCTGAGTTCTCTTTTCACTCTTCCATCTCTCCATTCCTCCTTTAAAATGTCTAGTTCATTTAAACTAATAACAATCTAATGTATATAATAACTCATATTTTGATAAATTTATCATGAAAACTTTTTTTAAAATACATTATAGTTCATCATACTATTTTACAATATCAAGTCATATATAGTAAAACATTAATATATTTATAATTTTTTTATCTGATTAACTAATTTAAAATAAAAATATAGTTCATCTCATTAATTCATTTCTTGTTAAAAAAAATATTATAATTAATCAATAAATTATTTGTTGATTTGGGATAAAAATGAGCTACTTTTTGAATAAAAAACAATCCCTTAACCCTCAACACAAGAAAAAGCAGGAAACTATAAAAAGTCATTAAAAGAACTATAAAATCATGAGTATAGTAACAATAGGGTCTTACGATGGTTTCTTAGCTGGGTGGGAATTTCACCGAGTAGATGGAGTGGTCAAATCGAAACAAACATTTGGCTTTAAAGTACAGGACACATGTATCAAGACGATAACTGTTTCGCCACAATTTTTGGCTCTTGGTGGGTCTGAGGAGTACGTTAAAGTGTACGATTTAGCAAAGAAGAGGGAAGTTTCAACATTATTAGATTTCAGTGGTCCTGTTGTCCGAGTCGTATTACAAGACAAAAAGTTGTACTGTGCATCGAGTGATGGGTATTTAACCACTTACTCAATCAACAGAGACAAAATTGTCATATTCAATAAAACATATGTGATGAAGAGAATCGAAGATTTGGCTGTCGATTCTACTGGCAAAATAGCATTGTGTATTGGGAAAGAGGGTCTGAGTGTTATAAACACTTTGAAAGCCACGGTGGTTTTCCAGAGAAAATTGAAGTTTGCTGCCGAGGGTGTTGCGTGGATCGGACTGAATAAATACATCGCTATATCAGAGAAAGACACCGTCCACATATACAACAGAAAATTCGAGGAGATCCAAACTCTGAAATGCGGTGAACGCGATAAAGTAAGAACAATGTCATCACTCAGTGACATTCTTGTTGCCGGCACCGAGAAGGGGGATGTCTTTTCGTGGAACTTTGCTGAAAAGAAAGAAAAACAAGACGCCCCCAAAGAGCCCCAACACGACGAAAACAATGAAAAACCCTCAGAACAAAATACGTCACCCGAAGCAGGTCCAGAGACCGAAAAGGAAGTGAAAGAAGAAGAAGTTGAACACAAAGATGACGAGAAAGAAAGTAGTGAAGTCGAGTTACATGAAGAAGAATCCAAAGACATTCGAATGAATGAAGAAGCCGATGACGAAGAAGAAAAGATGGAAGAAATTGAAGAAGAAGAAAATGACAGTTCGAGTGAAGAAAGTGTTGACGATGGAAGTTTCCCACACACAAAGAAGATCAAAATCGCAGATGGGAGAATTCGAGGAGTGGAGATGATTTTAATCGACGACTGGGTTGGATATGCCGTCGGATTTAGTAGTGGAAAACTTTGCATAGTGAGTAGAAGTGGAAAAGTGTTGATGGAAATGGAGACTGGGCTTAGAATAACAACATTGAGCACATCGATGCTTCAGTAAATTGATTGAGTATTATCAATTCTCTTCTTCCGTATATAATATCGTATATATCATATAACAATCAGTTAATCATAGAAGTGTGGATCTCTTCCCCAAGTAATTCAGTCAAATCATTTGCTCTATCATCTTCAATTTGATTGAATTTATTAATTTCATCAATGTCAATAGCTTCAACTGTTCCATTATCATTCACAATCACAGAGTTTTTATCGACATCATCAACGTCAATTAAATCTGTTTGTATGGGGACGTTGAGGGAAGTTACTTTCATTTGTGGTGTTGTTGATGACATTTGGATTGGCGAAAATTGTTGCGCGCTTTTTCGTTTTCCTTTTTGCGCTTTGCTTGGTGATTCCGACTTTTTCTTTGGCAAAGACTTTGGAGATGAGAACTCCAATTTGTTCATTCTTTCCGTTTTTGATCTTCTTGGTTTTGTGAGTTTTTGTTTCAATTGGCCTTCTTGCAAAGGTGATTGATGTGCAGGTACTGTAGCCGTTTTCTCAGTCTTTTCGACTTTTTGGAGTGGTATAGTTTTTTGAGTGAAGAGTGGTACATTATTATGTTGTAATATGTTAGTCGTATCCATACTATTATTAGTAGAAGTTGTGAAATAGTTTTGTGCGGACAAAGGTGTGTTTTGTTGATTAATATTGAAGATAGAGTTTTGTTGGGGAGGTAATATAGAATTAGTAAGTGGTTGAGCTTTCCCATCCGTTGAAGTAACAAATGCAGACATTGTATTCGCCTTTGTACGTTGTGTATATTTGACTGGTTCCAACAGGATTTTGTCTGAAATAGTTGAGAACGTTTTGTTATCTTTTTTGAACGGCGAGTCGAGGATCTCCGTATCTTCTGTTTTGTTTTCCTCAACGAGTTTTGGTTGAGTCAGAAACCCTTCATCAAAGTCTTCATCGACGTCGTAGACGTCTCCGACTTTTTTTGAAAGTGGTTTTATCTCCAGCAATGTGTCGTCTGTGATTTCATAATCTTTGTAGATTTGACAACTTGGCAACATATCAAATTTTCGTTTGAGAAGTTGAATTTCGGCATGATTCATTATGTGACTTTTCAGTTTTATTTTCTGTATTAGTTTTATTGTAAATTTTATTAATAACATATATTATTATGGTATTAGTATGAATTGAGTTCTTATTACTGTATTATTTATAATAGTATCATGTTTGATTTTTAATTAAACAGCATAAATACCTCAATAAATCATCTCTCGTGCGGAATTGAAGAATAAAGCGCCGTTCAATCTCTTTTTAAAAATCCCGTCGTTGAATTGAATCCAATCAATTTGTTGTATCCCGCCATTAGACTGTTTAATTCTATTAATAACTATGCCCATGTCTTCCCTCATTGAAAATTTGATGAAACAAAACGAAAGTCCTTTCTTCGCCCCAAAAAGTGCTGTGTTATAAAAGAGCATCAGAGTTTTTTGAAGTCCATTAGTCAAATTCAAAAACAAGTCCAACGATGAGTTAATTGGGAGATTATAAAAACACAAAGTATTTGTTTTTGTGAGTGGTTGTCCGTTATAAAAAGAGAAGAGTTCCATTGCAAAGTAATTTTGGATTTCATTTTTCTTTTCTGTCTCCAAATGACAAAACGTGTTTTTCACAAAAAGTTCGAATGGAGAGATGTCATTTTTAGTTGGTTTATAATTCGTATTATTAATAGAATTAATATAAAACGTTAAGAAATCCACGTCGAAACGAATCTGCCCGACTTGAGTGATATGTTTTGCAATAGTTTCTAAACACGACGAACAAATATGAGTGGACGATCCAAAGTGTTGACAAGAACTTCTCAGAAAACCTTCTGTGAACAAAAAATTAAGAACAAAACAGGTACTATAAAAAGATGGATTTTCAAACCCATTGAGAGTGAGAACAGACAAAATGTTCGTACGAAGAAGGTCGACCTCCCGACTTTTCTTAATAAGTGAAGAGAAGAACTTCCACATTTCCGCTCGCTTCTCTTCATAATCAAATAACACAAATGTGAATTTCTCGTCGTTCAATGTTAATCGAGACTCGCTTTCAACGGTACTCATATCGACAAAAAGGTCTTTGAAATTCTGCTTAACTTCTTCTTTGTCGTCGGAATCAATCATAAGTTCAACTACGGTGTGCGACCGATTCCCATAACAGTCCGCTATAATCAACTCCGGAAAGTAATTTAACGTGTCTAAAATAACGCCAGGAATCGGTGGAGATACGTCGTCATTCGAAAATGATTTTTCTGGAGGTACTGTCGGAAGGATATACTGTTGTCTGTCAATATTTGAATGTTCCATAATTCGATGAAGGAGAAGTTGTGAAGGGTCTGTTATACCTTTACAACATCCATAAAGTTTTGGTGAGACTTTCAACACTTCCTTTGGTGTTGACATTAAACTTTTGAATTAAGTTGTTCCTATAATTACTAGTTATGGTACTATTGAAGCTTAACTTCGAATTACTGTATTATAAATTATAAATAATAATATTACTATTATTATTATAATAATATTTAATGCAAAAACAATAAATAGTAATAAAAAAATTAAAAAATATATTATAATAATTTATTGGTTTAATTATAATATTATTTTAGTATATTGATGATGTTAATAATTTAATTTTTTAAAGTTATTTCACTCATGTTCTTATTTCTACGAAATCGAAGTAAACTCAAATTATTATTATATAATTCATATATTATAAATTATAGTTTTTTTAAAATGCTTCAAAAAGCACAAAGAACTTAGTTTAAAACTATAAAAGAGAGAATGGAATACATTAGACAATTGAGTTACAATGTGGGGTCTTACTTCTATAATTCATTTTCTTCTCACAATTTCCACCCACTGAAACCTTTTGATATTACCCATCCTGTCTTCATCTTTGGATTATCTTACACTCACGACACTCCTTCGGAACTTTCTTTTGCTGATGCAGCTCATCGCATACACGACTTGATCACCATCACTTACAGACAAAAATACGCCACACTAGGACACACATATTTAACTTCAGACGCTGGATGGGGGTGTGCCATTCGATCGGTTCAAATGCTTCTTGTGAACTCGATAGTGGTATATCTCGACAAAAGCTTTCACCCGGAGTATACCTCCCACGACCACATCGCAATAAAAAACAACGCGAAACAACTTGTCTTCGATAAGGAGTCGTCAGTATTGTCAATACACAATATATACATCCAAGACGCTATTATCAAACACAACCCAACAGGTACTAACTTCCTTCCACCTTCTACATGTGCTACTGCTGTTGCGTTTGTTTAACTTCTTATCAATGAAATACACTGAATGACAGAGACTTGTACAACTTTTGGGAGAAGAGAACGTTTGATGTGTTAATGTGTACCGAATATATCCCTGAAGTCACTCAACCGACACTCCTCTTCATCCCTCGAATCGTTACTAAGTCCGAAAGAAATTTCATCCAAACTACAAGCTTCTTACCACAAAGCAGAGGGTTTGTGGCTGGTATTGGCGACGCCGCTATTTACTGCTTTGGAGTCCAAGAAAAAAGGGTCTTCTTTTTAGACCCACACTTCGTACAAGACGCAAGCGAGGTTGGGTATTTTAACAGACCCATTTTTGAAGCAAATTTTGACGAATTGGATAACTCGTTTGTGTTTGGGATGATGTGCGAAAACAAGAGCGACTGCGAAGTTGTGAGGATGACTTTTAATATGGGGAAGGAGAAGGTTATAGCGCGAGAAATGAATTCAACGGAGAATATCAAAGGCTTTGAGGTGCTCAATTTTTGAAGTGTTTATGAATTGGAATTATTTCTTTGTTATTGTATCTACTCTCCAATACTATAAATAATACTATATATATAGTATAAATACGATATTTCAGATATCTAATAATAATAGTATCAATACTAGATATCTCTAGTTTATATAAATAAAACTTGAAAAGACAGTATGTATACACTCAAAGTGAACCAACGGATGTCTCGACTCTTCCGGTCGAGCACGTGTATGACGAAAACTTCACCACGGGGAGCGAGTTATCTTGGTGTTCGGAATATATGGCATGCGGTTTGTTGAGTTATTAGAGTTACAATGCGAGTTAAAGACGAACACGGAAGTGGGAGGAGAAAGAAAATTCATGTTATTCAAAAAGAGAAAATTGGAGAAGAAACAAAAAGGTAAAAAATGACGAATAGATGTTAATGCCTTTGAATAATGACATTCCAGAAGGTGTTATAAGAACGTTAATACATATATCTATGGGAGACGAAAATAATATGAAAACGACACAATCGATAGTCTCGTTTTTTGGAGAGAACGAACGGGTGCCTGAACTCATCAATTACATTGTGAAACGAGAAGTCGTCTCAAACATCGATTCACCAGAATATATATTCCACTCCAATTCTTCTTTTGAAATTTTTGCAAAAATGTTTTATTTGAAAGAATCTGATGCATTTTTGGAATACGTAGCAAACCAGATCGTGTTAAAAATTCGGAAGTCGAGAATTCGGTTCATCGTTTGTTGATTTAACAAGTCTCTCCATCAAGTGGAAAAGAAGTTTAATTGTGAAGGAACAAATTTAACAACAAGAATGAAACAAAACACATCGTGAAAGATGTCAAAAAAATTGTGAAGCTACTCGATGACCTTCTAACACTTGTTTCAGACACTACAAAATACAGTCGGTTTGTTTTTCTTATTTATTTAATTATATGTTATAATAGAATATTTAATTATAATATAATTAATAATATATATTATTATTTATATTATTTAGGCTTCGCAACCGAGAATTTTCTTATTATAAATTAGTATCTAAAAAAGCTAATAAAACGGGGAAGAAAAATTGACCCGTTTTATTAGCGTTTTTCGATACTAATTTTTGATAAGAAAATTCTCGGTTGCGCACCCTAATATTATTATTTATATTATTATTTATATTATTATTTATATTATTATTTATATTATTATTTATATTAAATTGACTTATTAGCCCTTCAAAGTACTTACTCTACCAAATACTTAAAGTCACATTTTATGACTACCCATTGGAAAACTCCCTGGCGATGGAGGCTTTTGTGTTTGATTGTGTGATCAAAAAGCTACGGACGACAATAACGAAAAATGCGAATGAAAAGATGACGATAGACACGTTTATCAACGTTGTGAATTGGTACATCTCACCATCTGAGGTTGAATGGGGTCCACTTTACCAGATGAAGTTAGCGAGTTTTAGAGATCGCATTCGGCAATGGAAACAACACGTTTTGGTTTGTTAGAAACGATTTGAAGGTAGACCGCATTAACGACACAGGAATTTGAACCGGGGCGTGAGGACGCATTAGTCAGGTGGTTTGTCACGACTGATGGGTTTGTCGAGAAATTGGTGTCAATGGTGTGGTACATTGAAGAGTTTGTAGGTGAGGAGAGTAAGAAATTACTGAACCTTCACTTTGGGACGGGAGACAATGTGCCTTCTTTTAAAAAGGCGGTGAAAGAAATAGCGAATGAAGTTGAGGGTTTGCGACGAACTGCTGACACGGAGAAGCACCAAATGTTACAAATGATGTCGACGATACAAATGAAACACAAAGGTATGTTTTTATAGTTTCTTACTAATTAATTAAACTATATATAATGGATAGATATGAATGAAGAGATTCGGTATTTAGATGAATTACTTAATGCTGGGAAAGCAAGTGAACATAAAACAGAAGAAGAAATTGATGAAAGTTTAACAGCATTATCAAGAGAGAAATCGGAAGCTTCTCTAGATACAGTACCAATGAGTCAGGAGTGCATTGCAGATGACTTCCTAAGCTTTCAGTGAGTGTGCTTTTGAATTGAATTGTTTAGTTTTTATATTTTGAGTATACAAGGAGAAGGGAATTAAGTGGGAAGTCACGAGTAAATTTGATAGAAGAATTAATACAAAGTCAATTGAATTACATTACACAGGGATGACTGGCTGAGAAGAAAACTTGGTTGGAGGGATTTCGACAGATTCTTTTAAAGAATAAGGCTTGAGAGTAGTCAATGTTAAGTCTGAGGAGACCGACCATTCAGCAGAATCAAAGAAGAGTTGGTGCTTAACAGTGGATTTTTTCATCCTTTCCAGGTGAGGTCTTTGGTTGTCCATTAGTGTTTGTTTGTTACAAGATTGTGTGTATTTATGAAATTGGAGGGGGGTGTGGAGTTAAGAAGTGACAAGTAACGATTTTTGTTTTGTAAGAGAACTATTTCTTTGATTCTGTGAAACTATACGTCACACTTATTTATATAAAAATCTTTTTATAATTGTAACTAATCAAAAAATAGAAAAAGTAATTATTATCGGACAAATAAAGTTAAAAAAATCTTGCCCAAATATGACTTTTGTGAACTAATACCAAGTAAAATTAAAACTATTAAAAATAGTTGAAAAACTAAAAACCATTTTTTTATTGTTGTTTTAAATGGCGAATAATAATTTGTTTTTGTTTAATTTACAAATCTATAATAATAAAAAAATAGTTGATTTTATAACAAATAATTTTTTAATTGTTTTAAATTAAAAATAATAATATTTACTATTTGTATATCTAATCATTTTGTACTAATTGATTATTATTAATTATATTATTAATTATAAATATAATTAGAATATCGAATTATTTTAAAAAATTGGAAAAAATATATAAAACAATCTTGATTAAAATTTATCATTTAACATTGATAACATTTCTATTTGATTGGAAATTATTTAATAGTTCAAAATAATAAAAATAAGATCAATTTAAGAAAAATTTTTCTAATTGAACATTTGATTTCGATTATTGTCTCTAATAAATATAAAACGTTTTGCTTAATATTTTTAACATAACAACTTGAAGAAGACGGTTCTAATTTAGTTCATATGAAGAAAAAATCAATTACCAAAATGCTCAAAGACTTATCGTCTGGCAAGCCACCCCATGAACGCGAAAAATGCAATGAACGCTGCAAACGCTATTATCAAGCAAAAAATGAGGAGGAAGAAGTCAAACATCCAATCTCAATATGCCTTTTTTAGTTCTTTTTTTCAATGCCTGTCTTTTTTATTTGTTTAATCTTTTGTTTGCCTTTCCATTTACTCAGCGCTTTGCTTTAACAAAACATACACCCTAGACTTAAATACCATATTTGCGTTTACGTTCCAACACATCTCAATCTCAACATTTTAAGATTGAATCAAACTCTCTCAACAACAATCCTATAACATTTTAATAACAATATTAATAACAAAATCTATTCTGTCCTTCAAAAAGAAATTCGAAAAATCATCCTGTTATAATAAAAAAGAATAAAAATAAAAAGATTGAACTTAAAAATCATAGTGTATTTCCAAAGTCATGCCGATTTTGGTGTTTTTTGTAATTTTCAGTGTTCTTGGGAAGGTAGACGACAGTATAAAATATGACATAATTGACATTCCGGTCTCAACAGACCTGATCAACGAGATCGATGAGCGTGTAAATAAGATGTTTTCGATGAAAAAGGCCAGTTTAAAACTTAAGGTCTCGCGTTTAATCTCAAAAGTGGAAAACCTAAAAACTCGGATGGAGAACGCTCTTCAGTCGTGTCGTTCCGAGGTGACGAAAAATGAGATGATCGAAAAGATTGAAAATCTTAAAAATGAGAGACGGAAGATTGACGAGTACGAAAAGACGAAG